AAGAAGATGATCGTTGGATTGTCTGTTTAAGACGGACTATTGCAAAGGGAGTATATATACTCTTAGAAGATACAACAAGCACTTTGTTTCAAGGATACCAATGCCTTAAATCCTTCCTGCCACTAAATGATACCAAATATGAAATGAAATTGCAGGAACAACACTTCTGAACCAGTGATTGACACAACACAATCTCAAACATGCTGCTGTCCTCTCAGCATGCATCTGAGATTTTGCAAACCAAATCTCTAGATTTGGAATTCTTTTTAAGCTCAGATGTGTTCTTGATGATCAGCATTTATGCCTAAAAAGGTTCAAACAGTCATTCATGTGAGCAACCATCAACCAACCACAGAGCATGTCTGCATGGAGTCCGCTTTTGGAGACAGAGACTGCCCGTTTTAAGCTGTCATAGTCCAGTGACATGATGACTGGAGGTATAAGAGATCATTTGCTGTGCCTTTCAAAATGTCTGATGCCTAGTAAGCCCAGCTTCTTCCCAAGCTACATCTTAAGTTCACTGGAATAGAATCCAATTTCAATTTGGCCTCAAAGGAAGACACTGATTTGGATCATTTAATACCATAATGTATCCAAATCTATCCATGCCACCTTTAGCCTGAGGAGCTCCATAGTGATGATGTGATGTTCCTCAGAGCATGATTCATCCCTCCTCTTCACAGCTGTAACATCAGTCCATTAGCCGCTGCAAGGGACGATTAGCTTTTCTAAGACAAAACCACAGAAACCTTTTTATGTGTTTTTTTCCACATCACTGCACTAAGCAGCTTTGTTGATCCTTCTCTTAGCATTATTGCACTGAACCCCACTGTCAGGACTGACATGAAGGCATAAAGGTGCACGCAACGGCCTGAACCCTTAGCAGGGACCTGGCAAATGAATGTGCTACAGGTGGTGAACGCAAAAACAAACCTGTCAGCTGAGGATACAGTGTGAGGCAGCCAACAGTACAAGCAGACGGCCAACACCATCAACACACTCTTGCAAACACAGAGATTCACACAGCATTTGGAGCTGGGTTTTCTGCCAGTTCGTTTACAAGAGTCATACACAGCCCTGAAAAGTATGGACACCTCATTCTAAAAATCTTTCTAGCTTAATAACCAAGATGCCAAATTACTATTGGCTGAGAACCAGATGACAGTACATTCTTTTTTGGCAGATAAATCAATGAGCCACCCTCTGCACAGGCTGCTAACTTTGTGAAATGCAGTATTTAAATGCCTGAGTAATTCAGAGTTCTTTCTCTGGTTTCTCTTTCTTTGTTTGTGATGACCACGACACACTCTCTGACCATCAGCCAACAAATCTTAACTGTGGCTCTGTATCAAACACACTGTTGATTGGCTGTCTGGTACACTGCTCTACAGTAATTCCGTTTACACTGCCACAGTGAGGACTGGGCCATTATCACTTCTTCAAGGGGTTGAAGGACTTGATTTTAGAGTTAAGGTTTGTTAAATTGAGTTTAGATGAAAGGATCATGTAGATCTGATGTTGTACTCACTGATGTCTTTTTCACCATTTGGAGAAAGCATTGAGTAATCAGAGCTTTGGGCTGTAAATGGAAATAAGAATGGGGACCATACAGTTATCAACAATAAGGATAGCATATTGCCTTCTTTTCATCGCTGTTGAGAGTTGCACATGCTCAGTTATAGATTGGGAACTCAAAAGGAAATGGTGCTAGGTAAAGCCAAAGTTAATGAGCAAGCATTTTAGTTATCCTGTGAACAGGAGTTTAGTTGGCGGGTTGGAAGGGTTTTTTTTTTTCAAAACACATGTCAAGTTTAGGAAAAAGTCCTTGTTGTTATTTTATAACTGCTAATAGATAAAACAACTTGACTCTGGGCAAATAGATTTCGGATCCACTTGCCCAACCAGGCAAAGGATGGGATCAGTGTCATCTTTCTACATAACTAGCTTGCTACCTAGCTACATGGACTATACAGATTATCGTAAGTCATGTTACAGAAATAACTCTTAAATCTTTTCAATTTTAACAAAATTGCTTAGATCGCCACATCAAGGTGACTGCTTCAGGCAGCCACTAACACAAAACAAAAGAGAAAACAAAAGCAAACCCAAAAATTATAACTGTCCGTTGTTGCTGGGACTTTCTTCTTCTGTCTATGGGTCATGCTAACTTTACACCGGTGAGATTTGAGTTATGCCAACTTCACTAAACAACGTGACAAGCAAGAAACAGTAACCCACATCCTCACACATATAGACTAGCGGCCCTGTCCAAAGGAAAAGGGGTCTCATTTGGTTAGCTGGCAAGTTGCCCTGGAAGTAGATTTTTCTGCAGTTATTATTCAGAGGGCTAATTTCTATGTACACTTGTATACTTTCGGCTGAACTCATAAACTAGCATTTCAAATGATTTGTGTGAACTTAAAGTTTCTTTAAACCACTCTGCTTGCCCTAATATATGCTGTTTTAATTCGCGTTTCCCAAATCTTCCCACCAAAGTGGTGAAAGCACGAAGAAAGGTAGCATGACCCATAGACAGAATGGACACAAAAATACCAGAATTTTCCTTTGGCATGTAGCTCTGATATTGTGTATTTAAGATATAGTGTTGCAGCTAATGCATTACATCAGTCTTCTCATCTGTATTGTGGATTAATTATTTTAAACATAACTGCTCTTCATGTTAAATTACAAGCATGAGCCACTGTATAATTGCATCCAGGTAGCGCGACACATATCAGTGAAAAATGTAATTATGGCTGGCTGGTAAGAAGTCTGGCAGGTTAATTTTTCAGTTAACTTGGCAGGTAAACCTGACGCACTGTGACAAGTGAGGCAGAACATTAATGTTGGCTGCTGTTCTTAATTTATTCATTTTGTTACTAAACCACTGCCATCACACTTACAGTAATATTTTCATATGTGAAGGCACCTGGTTATTCATCAAGTGGCCTGATACTGTCACAAGTGACTTTTAGAAAAAAAAATATGGTCTTGAAGAATGAGAGGTGCTCTTGTGGCTGAGTGACCTCACCATGTAACCGCCTGTTCTCCGGCAGGTCCCAGGACTTCTGCTGCGAGTCGTGCGGCTGCTCCATGCGCTCTGCCCTCCTGGCTCTGACCCCCAACAGCAACCCTAGCGCCGAGGACGACAAGGCTAAAGAACTGGCTCAGCAAATCAACTTCAAGGTACAAACACTGGCTGTTACACGTGTCATGTTTGAGTCACAGTTTAGTCAGCGATTTAACCCTCAGAGCAAAAGAGCTGCTGACAGCACCAGTTACAAAGGAAAGTCTGCTGCTATTTTCCTTCTCTTTCTGTGCATAGGAAAAGCTGATTTGCTCAGTGCAGTGTCATGTTAGGGCTGGACAATAAACCAAACTGAATCTCTTACCCATTTAAATGTACTTGTATCACAATTTTTATTGAATTGTCCAAATACTGTCTGATTCAAGTAAGAATACTAACCTCCCAAATAGTGTCTGAGGCCTTTGTTTATCTCGACAGCAGGCCTTTATTTGAAAAAGGCCTATAATTTCCACTGTTTTACCAGTATATTTTATCATATTTAAGTTAGAATTCTCCCTGTTTTCTGATGTGCCCCTGTTGATGCTGTTTTCCCAACATACAACCTATTCATGGCTCTCTTGGCTCTTTTAAAGGTTTTTCAACTGATACAAAAGACTAGGTGAACTTTATCCTTCAAAATATAACTCCCATGAGTAAAATAAATAATTTTTTGGAAAGAAAAGACCTTTCAGTGACAAGATCAGAGCTCCAATCACTTTTTTTGGCAAGTGGAAAACTGCATTTAATGTGCTGTATTGTATTGTATTGAAGGTATTTCACCTGGTAAAAGTTAGTAGGTGAGCTATAATGTTAAAAATATAACTTGTACGGATGAAGTAATTTTGTGGCAGAAAAGACCTTTCAGTACAACACGTGTCAACACTTCTGCTGCTCTGAGTTTCTCTTTTTAACACAAATAAGCTTTTCATTCAGTAAGTAATTGTAGGAATAGTTGTTTTTTCTAGTTTGGGCAATTGGTTTTATTGACCTTTAAGGTACTGTCAATCAAACTCATCACACTCTGTCCTGATATGCTTTTATTGTGACATGACAACGTCGCTCATCGCTGTGCAGCTCTGTGTTTCTCTTTTAAACAGAAATACTATTGAGCTTAAATGTGCATTTTTGACCATGGAAACAGCAGTTAACAAAATAATCCACCACAGGGTGCATTTAGTACCTTTACTGGGGATTTCAATCATATTACATGATCTTCTTTAACAGTTAAAGTTTGGAGTTTGGAAGAGTAGGTATTCACATTTCCATTTTTTCTTTCCTCTAATGACTTCTAATGTGTGTTTGCTACAAATTTTCACTTCAATTTCACTCTTCACTTTGGAAACAGCAGTTAAAGGTCCTTTGTGCTTGCAAGGGGAGGGTAAAGCAAGGGAGTTGCAATCTTGCAATCTTAATTCCTACACACTGGTCCATTACATAATAATCCTCCACAAGGTCTATTTAGTAGCTGTTCGTACTGATGGAATTAGAGCTGTGGAAAGGTACATTATACTGAATTTACCATGTCAGCTATTATAGTACATCAGTATGTCCACCCTCAATGTTTACCTTTATTGTTAACCCTTTATTATTTGTGATTCTTCTGTTGCTTTATTACCAGATTTTATTTGAGATTATATGGTAGTTATAACAACCAAAAAAAGAGATGAGATTAAGTTCAACGTTGTTGAAGTAAATGTGACAAATTGTCATGATATATATTTTAGGTTATATTGCCCAGCCCTATGACAAGAGCCACTGCACAGTGTATATGACTCAGTTCTCTGTGTGTTAATGCAGGCAGAGTCCAGTTTATCCAGACAGGCGAGTGAGAGCAGAGGTGCGGAGAGCGAGCCTTCCACAGTCACCCAGGGAGACACCTCCACGTCTGCAGGCCAGGAATTTGCTGACGGGCCCCGGGCTGAACAGGTGGGTGATAAACTGCCACTCTGGGCTTACACAGAACTGCACATAACCTGCCTGCAGCCAGCCCACCACCTACAGAACAGACCATTCCTATGATTTTACATGTTTGATTTTGACATTACAGGAAACCATTTCACAGAGCATACTATGTTTAGATGGCTTTTCTATCTGCCAACCGGCCATTGGTTTTAGTTGATTTCAGTATGCTATGAAAGTTCATCACAGTGAACATCTTTATTATTATTATTATTATTATTATTATTATTATTATTATTATTATAATACACTTTTGTCAAGGTTATATTGTTGGTGTTGTGATAAAGCAGCTGAGAAGAACTGCATTCATCCTCTAAATTGTTCACACTGCTGGATTAATCTTCTCAAGCCTCACTGGCATATTGCTACAGTATTGTAGTGGTTATTGTAGTGTTACCTTGGTTACGACTAATACTATAGGGATCCAATAAACAATAAACTCTCTGGAAGCCAGGAAATCAGCCTAAAAAAAACATGTTACTCTGCTTCAATGCAAATTGGATCTCAGTTCATTGTATTGTCAATCATTCCTATGGGTTTAAGATAATATTGTATGTATTAAGTTATTTTCTGTGAACTGGGAATGTGGTGACATCGAAGCACATGCAGTCCGCCAATCTGAAAGTTAGTCAAACCTATTATAAAATGAAGGTGAATGGTAAAATGATTACCCAAGCTGTCTATTGTAAACATCCATCAATTTTAGTGATTAATCGATTAGTTGGCCTTTTTTTAGATTATTGGCGTCAGCAGATAAACAAAAAAATCTTTAGATATGTGCTGGCAGCCATATCATTGTGTTTGCCGTGGACCGATGTTAGCGCTCTCCCTTCTGAGTTTTGAGAAGTTGGTGAAAAAGTTGGTTTTGAGCCCTGTGCTATAATTCCCATACATCCTGCTGAAAACATATGCTGGAATTTTCTGTAGAATAGAATAGAACTAGAAAATTCCTAAAGAAATTTTGAGTGTGCCTGGCTCTGGCCTGTGACTCTGGCCCATACATTACTGACACTGCCGAGTAGTTTACGGTATGTGACCTCTACCATTGCTTAGGTATGTGACAGATCAAGTTAACGTGTGTTCATATGAGAGAACAAATAGACTGTTCAAAATGTAGCATTGAGAGTTTGCAATATTAGAAATATTGTACAAAAATTCGTCCCGTAACTGTCCTCCAATCAAAGTTATTAAATGTCAAATCAGGTCATGAAATGCGAGAACAACTTGTTGTTACAGTAATGACGTACGAAAGGCAGAGTTGAGGGGGCAAAGAGGCAGGTCAGAGAGCAGAGAGGGTGCATCTATATTTACCTATATTTTCTGTTTATCATATCCTCTCTCCTCTGTCCTTCACCATGACACACACATAATACATGGTTAATCAGCATTCTTACCTGTGTTTAATTCGGCGTACGCTTTATCCACTAACAACCACGTATTTTAATGACAAATCTTGTTTTTTCCATCTATTCCCACGGTCTTCTCCCACTGAAATAGTGAGGCTGGTAACGAGTTGATGCGCCAAAAAGTTTGTATTTATGTATTATATTGATGCCGAATTGACCAGAAGACTGTTGAGATATGATGAGTTTTTTTCTTGTGTTTCTACAGTTATGTGCTTTTATGTAAACGCAAATAATTGTTAATATATGGTATTTCTTAAATGGAGCTTGGCATAATATTGTCCTGGGATTAGGCAGGAAGCGTCATGGTTTAATTAAAATTGCTAAAGTAACTAAATAAGTAATAACCACAATGATGGGAATAATAAGTATGTAGTAATAATAATAATAATAATTATAACAATAGTAAGTAATGCTATCAATAACATGAATAACAATATTTATATAAATAAGCAATACATAATTAAGAAAGAAAACTATTCTTAATGTGCAGTCATAGGCAGTGTAGGTTTTTTAAAGTTTTAGAAAAATGTCCACCAGACCCCCTACCTGTTAACATACAATGAACGTTGTGACGTTGTAGACTTTTATTTTGAAACACCACTCTCAGCCCGAAAGCAATAGTGCAGTTACTACGTTACAGTCTGAGTGTCTTCTTCCTCACAAAATAAATCTAACTTGATGTTTTATTACATTATTAAATCTGTATTTATTGTGTCATGTGTAACAAGTTGAAATAGATGGCTAATTAAGAATTTAAGTGTCTTTTGTGACGTTTAATTAGCACAGTAATCCTTTGTCCTCTCTAGCTAGCGAGTGCTAGCACATTCATACCTTGTTCTGTCTAGCTAGCTTGCGCTAGAACATTAGTAGCTTGTCCTCTCTAGCAAGCAAAGAATATTAATTAATTAGCTAGCCTTCTAATACCTTCTTCTACCTTCTAATTCTCTTTTGCTAGCTAGGTAGAGCTAGCATATTAATACCTTCTAATTCTCTTTAGCTAGCTAGCTAGAGCTAGCACACATGTAATAATGTAAATTAAGGAACAGCTCCATAGCAGGCTAAAATATTTAAGGTGCATTGCACTTATTTTGTGTTAATATTAAAATCATTCAGCTTTAAATTGTTTGCTTGTTAGCCACCTTCTAATTATCTTTAGCTAGCCAGCTAGCTAATGCTAGCTTATTAATACCTTAAATGTGACCTGCTCCATCATTTTGAGTCACTTTGACCCAGAAACACATTTTGAGTTTTCTTCATGGCTGTAAAGAGGAAAGTCTCAGCTTTTAGCGATACCAACATTATTTTTCTACTCCAAAATTGTATGAGACACGCTCTTCCAAAGGTCGACTGTCAGCAAACCTTGTTTTTGAGAAAAAGGGCTCTAAAGATAGCAATCAACATTCCGCCATATTCCAAATGAATTGAAAGACATTTATAAACAGTTTATATTCAAATAAATAAACTTACAATTCAAAGTGCTTTACATAATTATAATCAGAGACATTGTACGCTACCATCGGGTCGGCCACGAGTGGAATATCTTCCTCCTCGCCTCCGTCACACTCACTTTCTTCGCCATCACAATCGGAGCCGGCCGGTGTCGGTGGCGCGAAATCCGAGTCAGACTCGGAGGTCGAGCCGCTGTCACTCTCACTCTCAGCTGCCGGTGCGGTGAAATAGTCCATTATGAGGTCGATCCAGTAGTTGTCGTCTGAAGTAGCATGTCTTACAGGAATTGAATTTAAAAGTCGAGCAATTTCGTCGTCGTGAAAATTCATTTTGTCTAGGCTGTCAATCTGTCTCCATGTCCATGTCTACTTAAACTGACAGTTGATAGATGACGCAGATGACACAAACAGATGGGGCCGTGAGAGGATGTTGCTGGCGGATCAGTGCGTTTCCCGCCAAAACTATGCGTCTGACATCACTGCGACCCCAACGGATTTACCTACGTTTCTATCTATGAATTATTTCTGTATGGTGACATTTGTGGCCTTGAGAGCAGTTTACAAATCTATTTTTCGACACATTTTTCGCTCACACTCCACTCTAACTGAATCAGCAGTTGAAAGCGGTTGGCCATTCTACCAATACACACCCATTAATTTTTTGGCCTGGTTTTTGGCGATTTGGCGAAACGGTTAGAAACTAGCACTAATGTCCCCACCAAGCCGCACGTTTTGGTAAATGGTAAATGGACCTGTACTTGTATAGCGCATTTCTAGTCTTCTGACCACTCAAAGCGCTTTTACAGTACGTGAGACATTCAGGAACGACCCGCTCTGCCTCTGAGCCTCCTGGTACCTTTTTGTGTATGTGCGACCAAAACTGTGGGAGGAGTAGTCGACCAGAAATGTTCTTGTATACCCTTAATATAAGCTGAATTCAATTTTGAAGCAACTGAAAGAAAATCTTCTCTAAAATTATTAAAACAGTTATATGGTGGCTCTAACCTGACTGTGCCAGGTGGTTTGTTACACAGAACTATTTTCGAAGTCCTTGTTGGAAACTGGCAGGCAATACTCTGCAGGTGATTGGATGAACCTGTCTATCACGGGCGAACTTCAACCAGTCAACCATAAAGCAAGTAAGTCTGGAGAAGAGCGAAAACATCTTTTCCATGGAGAAAAGCCTTTGGTGCTGTTCTTTGCCCTTCTTTTGCTCTCTAGTTCTGATTGAACTGATGCTAGCAGCATCTACACTAACCTCTTTAGCAGCCGTCATTGTTGTTTAACAAAGTGCATCTTTAGAAAACAAAAAAAAAAATACACAGTAGGCCTATGTCTCAGCATTTCGTCTAATTCTGTGAAGAAAATTTAATTAAATTTGCGTCGATAAAATGTTTCATTATATGTTATTATATATAGTTAAAACACTTGTTTTACACAAACTTCAATGCGTTCACTGTTTGGGTTCATTGTACACATTATCAGTTAATATCCATAAAATACATCACTTAGCAGTGGTTGTCAGTTTACTCAATGATAGATAACCACTGCTCTAAAATGTTTTAGAACCACTGTTCTAGATAATGGTTTTTCAATGAAATGAAGTTTGGCTGCCCTGGGTAATAGTTTTCTATAATATATCAATATTCAATTTACATAAGTAAGTGGAATGTTTTTTGGTTTCCAAAGGGGTGCATGGCAGAACAAGTGTAGGAACCACAGTTAGGCCTTTTCCACCAACAGGGAACTGGCTCTATTTGCTTTCTTTCTCCTAGTTTTTAACCTATCGGAGTGTTTCGACCAAAAAGAAATTGGTTCAGAACCTGAAAAGTTGGTTCCGAGCTGGAACCAAACAATAGTCAGTTTTCCTTGGGAACCAAAGTGGGCGTGTCCTATTCTAAAGGTTGTTGTGCATTGTGAAACGTGAGCTGTTTCGCTAAATGACACCAAGGTTCTAAAAAGAAGAAATAGAAGTAATTTCTTGAAAAACACTGAACCGCTGTGGGTGCTGTACTGCAAATATACATGCCTTGCACACCTCCATTGCAGTCTGTTGAGGATCCCACTAGTAGAGACATTGTTATCCTCTAACCCTACAATGGATCTCTGCCTGTGTGACATCTGAATATTTGCTGCAGAAAGAAGCCACTGGCACTGAATCTGAGGGACAAACACTTACTTGTGATGTTTTACATCACTGAAGATTTGTATACCACTAAACTATGAATGTCATTCACTGACATGCAACACAGTTGACACTAAAGATTATTTAGGCTTTGCTGATTCCTTCTCCTGTTGTTTGGCATAATTAAAAACAGACCTGTCTTCATCCTGTGGTTGGTTGTTCAATCCATTTAAGCTCCAAAGTGTTGGCCAGAGCAGTGGGTGTTCTAAAGCCCCACAGTGGAGATGATATAGTGCTGTCTGTATGCAGTTAATTACCCATCTTTTACATTGTTCCTTTTAATTGGTGGCACACTTCATCACCTGCTGACATCCCACTGAGCTCCACCATCATTTCCAATGTGTATGGAAGGAAGTGATTGTGCATGACTGTACAGCAGCACCATGCCAGCTGTACTGGTTGCTAGTGTGTAAAATCAAGCAGCCAGACATGGGCACTCTTTTTTTTTTTAACATCATGGTGGATGTGTTCTGGTAGCTCGAAGCCTGTGGCTCTGTGGCTTCTTTTCACCATTTCAGATAATATGAACGAGCTTTGTTGCCTAAGAGGATTGATTTTTGGCACCAGCTGCCACCCACAGAACCACAGCGTCGCAGTCTGAAGGAGCTGAGAAGAGGGTCAACTTAGATTAGTGTTTCTGAGTTTGGGTGAACTAAGGAGGCACGCGTCAAAAATAGGACTCGCCATCTGCCGCTGAGGATGGAGGGACAAGACTTAAAATTCACCCACGGTATCCCACACTGCCTTGCTGCTGTTCACCAAATACAGAGGGATGTAGGATGACTGTGTGTGCTGCCTCTCCCCAGTTTTTCCAGGTTCCCTGCAGCCATTCTCTAATTGGTTTCTGTGTAAAAGCTAAGCCCATCAGCACTGCTCGTTGGTTAGTCATCCCCCACAGCCTCCTGTCCTCCAGAAGAGGACTCATTCTATCAGCACTGGTCACTTTAAATGAACAGGAGCATCATACATTTGACTTTAACTATTATAGTGTTTATGCTGAACATTAGTGTGCTGATCCAGAAGCTCATGAATTACACATTATTTCTACGAAGCTGCATAAAAGAAAAAGTCTCTGGTGGCAGCAAAGACCAAAATTTGGAAAATATTCTTCATTTCTCTACTTTTGTAGACACTGTTTATGTGTTTGTTTAGCAATGTGTGGGCACATTAATGCCAAGGAGGGCTGCAACTAATAATTTCCATTATCGATTAATCAATCAATTCCCTGGACTGTGGAATCATCTCAAGTTTACAGAGACATTTTCAGATGTCGGTTTACTATCATAGAAAACAACCAGTAAAGATTTACATTTAAGAAACTTTAACCAGAGATTTTTTGCATATTTACTTAAGAAAATGAGCATCACTGTGTCCACTTCTGGCTCCAATCTGCTGTGTTATAATAAAGCCAAATTCATGACTTCATTGTTCTTAGTTTGTGTTGTCAGACATGGAATGAGCATAATAGTGATTTGATTGCAGCTCATAAATACCACCTTTCAGCCAGCAGTCATTTCCAAGCTATGCTGCTGATCACATTATTTTAGGAGGACGACATTGTGTGACGGAATCAACATAAATACAGGTTAATGGCAACAGCTGTTCTGGGTGATCCGCTAGACTGACATTTAAAATGAGTGATAATAGCAGGCGACAAAAGGATCTCAATTTTACTAAAACGCAGCCCCCAGCCCTCTTCTGGCAAGCCTGTCATTGTTTTGTGAATGTGTTTTTGGGTGAGAAAAACACCAGCCTAGTGAGGACAGAGTTTTTTTGCTTAATGTGGAGGTCTCTTTATAATACAGAATATGATAATAAGCTGAGGAAATTACAGCCACACGGCATCTGTTCCACTTCTAAATGAGCTTCAAACGTGTATTCATGCTTGGAAAACACAAATACTGTATACTATATTATAAATGCACTGGTGGAATGTAACTAAGTACGTTTAATTAAATACTGTATTTAATTACAAATCAAATTCAAGGTACTTCACTTGACTATTTTCATTTTTCATCCCCTTCTTGTCCAGTGAAAACTATTTATCTCCAAATATGCTGATTTTAAATCTTTGTGATAAACTCCAGGATGAAGTGTTCCTTAATATATGAGACAGTTCCTCTTAAGCTCAATGGAAATTGGATGGTCACAAACATCTTCTGTATTTCTGACCTTTTTAGAGATACATGGTTCTCACAGGACAGCCACAAACATGAGGATCTTATAGAATGATACATCGCTGTAGATGAAACTATACAGTTGTTAAAATTAGCTCAACATTAAAAATCTGCAGCTGTAAAATGCAACATACACATTAATGCAGCAGTGATATTAATCCAAAAATATCAGATATAATAGTAAAACACTGACAGGGAACGTTTTACTGCAGAATGAGTAGTCCAAGTTTTCATACCTGTATGTACAGTGGGGAGAACAAGTATTTGATACACTGCCAATTTTGCAGGTTTTCCCACTTACAAAGCATGTAGAGGTCTGTAATTTTTATCATAGGTACTCTTCAACTGAGTGACATTCTAAAACAAAAATCCAGAAAATCACATTGTATTTTTTTTAAGTAATTAATTTGCATTTTATTGCATGACATAAGTTTTTGATACATAAGGAAAACAGAACTTAATATTTGGTACAGAAACCTTTGTTTGCAATTACAGAGATCAGACGTTTCCTGTAGTTCTTGACGAGGTTTGCACACACTGCAGCAGGGATTTTGGCCCACTCCTCCATACAGATCTTCTCCAGATCCTTCAGGTTACGGGGCTGTTGCTGGGCAATACGGACTTTCATCTCCCTCCAAAGATTTTCTTTTGGGTTCAGGTCTGGAAACTGGCTAGGCCACTCCAGGACCTTGAGATGCTTCTCACGGAGCCACTCCTTAGTTGCCCCTGGCGGTGTGTTTCGGGTCGTTGTCATGGTGGAAGACCCAGCCATGACCCATCTTCAATGCTCTTACTGAGGGAAGGAGGTTGTTGGCCAAGATCTCGCGATACATGGCCCCATCCATCCTCCCCTGAGTACGGTGCAGTCGTCCTGTCCCCTTTGCAGAAAAGCATCCCCAAAGAATGATGTTTCCACCTCCATGCTTCACGGTTGGGATGGTGTTCTTGGGGTTGTACTCATCCTTCTTCTTCCTCCAAACACAGCGAGTGGAGTTTAGACCAAAAAGATCTATTTTTGTCTCATCAGACCACATGACCTTCTCCCATTTCTCCTCTGGATCATCCAGAAGGTCATTGGCAAACTTCAGACAGGCCTGGACATGCGCTGGCTTGAGCAGGGGGACCTTGCGTGCGCTGCAGGATTTTAATCCATGACGGCGTAGTGTGTTACTAATGGTTTTCTTTGAGACTGTGGTCCCAGCTCTCTTCATGTCATTGACCAGGTCCTGCCGTGTAGTTCTTTGCTGATCCCTCACCTTCCTCATGATCATTGATGCCCCACGAGGTGAGATCTTGCATGGAGCCCCAGACCGAGGGAGATTGACCGCCATCTTGAACTTCTTCCATTTTCTAATAATTGCGCCAACAGTTGTTGCCTTCTCACCAAGCTGCTTGCCTATTGTCCTGTAGCCCATCCCAGCCTTGTGCAGGTCTACAATTTTGTCCCTGATGTCCTTATACAGCTCTCTGGTCTTGGCCATTGTGGAGAGGTTGGAGTCTGTTTGATTGAGTGTGTGGACAGGTGTCTTTTATACAGGTAACGAGTTCAAACAGGTGCAGTTAACACAGGTAATGAGTGGAGAATAGGAAGGCTTCTTATAGAAAAACTAGCAGGTCTGTGAGAGCCGGAATTCTTACTGGCTGGTAGGTGATCAAATACTTATGTCATGCAAGAAAATGCAAATTAATTATTTAAAAATCATACAATGTGATTTTCTGGATTTTTGTTTTAGATTCTGTCTCTCACAGTTAAAGTGTACCTATAATAAAAAATTATAGACCTCTACATGCTTTGTAAGTTAGTTGTTTTCTGCTATATTTCAATATATGTTCAAAATCAAAATCTCATATATATAACCTTTTAGTACATTTTGCTGATAATACTTACATACTTACATACAAGGTTTTGAATGCAGGACTTTCACTTGTAGTGGAGAATTTTCACAGTGAGGTATTAGTACTTTTGCTGAAGTAAAGGATCACCACTGCATAAATGTGTGTACTGAATAACAGATGTTCCCCTTCTGAGTTTTTGTGTACATTAGAACCAACCAACCATAATCGTTTAGTTGAGTAATTGTTTCACCTCTAATGCCTTGTTATGTCTCACTGATCCACTCAATGGTGTCCTGTTTCACAGGCAGAGGCATCTCCAGCCACAGGAGTGGACGGACCCCAGACCCCTGCGGCACCCAGCACCGGTCGCCCTCTCAGCCCCCGGCAGCGTCGGGCCCAGCAGCACAGCCAGCAAGGCCAGAGAGACGGCAGAGATCCAGCCAGCAGACCGGTGTTCCCACCAGCTCCTCGCCAACCTCAGGATGAAAGCCACGCGGGCTCGGCAGTCCTCATCGTGGTGCTCACTCTGGCCCTGGCCGCGCTCATCTTCCGCAGGATCTACCTGGCTCAAGAGTACAAGTTTGACTACGAGCTGTGACCAACTAGGCCACCGCACCCCTCCTCACCCTCGAGCCCGCCCCTCCTGCTACCACCCTAACAGAACTATCAGCTGCTCAAGTTGAACCAGAGCCGAGGCGGTGGCTGACGCTGACTTTCTGCCCTCCCTGCTCTTCAGCAGAGGTTTCAGTCTCCACCGAGGACGAGGAGAGGGGGCTTTCATTCCTGCAAAGGAGGCGCTCCACTCGCCACAATGCCTCCTGGGTGTCTTTTAATCAATGTGAATTTTACTCTCCGGAGTGTCATGCATTTTTAAAAACGGGAAGCTTTTCTGTGTTTGTGATCAGTTCAGCAGCCACACACACACCACATCCCCTTTCCACATAGTTGTTGTCTATCCTAGGGCTGCAGCTTGTTCCCGTTATTGAATTCAAACTGTAATATAATATGTCAACAACACAGAATTAGGGGGTATTTTTGTCTCAAGGTTATTATTTAATCAAGGAAGGGCTATAAAGCCTTCGTCTGTATGTGCTTCAGCTTCCTGTTAGGGTAGGTCAGCCTCACCATACAGGGCTCTGTTTTAATGGTGCAAGCGTAGCCACCGCTGTGCTGGCGTCCTCAAGTGCTAAGCGACATCGGAATTTTGGACGACCTCATTAAGCAGTCCCCTCCCTCCTTCACCACATTGATATTCTGCTGCCTGTCCTTGAGGACCGCCTCTTTGTGGAGTTCTCCCTCCTGATTGGATAAAGTGGAAATGGGATACCAGAGAATGTATTGTATAAAGCAGGGACTCGGGCACCCATATTACTGACTGTGTATCAGTAATGGCTGTCTATATATAACAGCAGCTCTAAGTCTTAATTCTCCTGTATCTCATGGCACTGTTAATGGTCTCATCATATTGTAACTGATGTGATGTAGCAACATTGTGCATTTCAAGAATATGAAACACCACTGTTGTTAAGGTAGTAGTTGTTAAGGTGGCAGTGATGCACAGGGTTGATGAGCTGTGGTAATCCCACATAAACAGGCAGATGCTGGGTTATAACTTTCCATCATTAACACAGAAGTCCTGCTGCCTTCAGATGACAACAGGGATTTAACGATCTGAAGAAGAGGCTTTACAGTATAAAGCAGCTGTGGATAATTGATACTGTAACAATCACTCATTTTAATTTACAGACGTGTGTGTGTTACACCACGCTGTGTGGCCACTGTAATGTGTGACTGCAGGGGTGTTATCACACTTTCTAGTAGTGAGTAGTTGAAAACATGCCTTGAAGTCAAATGTTTTGACACAGACCATCAGAAAATATGACTCTAGGAGGCTCTGGCTAGGAATAAAAATGTTCCATCCAAGTATTGTCAGGTACTTGGCTGTTCTTTCACCTTTTTATATGAACTGACATCACCAGAAAAATCTGCAACAGAAGCACGGGAAAACCCAAGTCCCTGTTTCTGACACTGGCCATGAGATAATGTGAGCCTGCAAATATGCTGCAAATGTACTTGCCCTTTCTCTCAGACCACTTAGAGACTGAATGATATTATAACATTAATATCATTTAATAATGGCAGCCACTTGTGGAAGTGTTACAGAGCCCCTCCCGCACTCACACATTAAAGGAGAACATTTTTACACGTCAAAGTCTGTTTACTGGGCCTGGGGAATACTAGTGCATATGTGCAACAAGTGGTAAAAAGCCTTTTGAGTCTCCAGAGGGAGCTTTGTGAAGTCTGATAATCTACCTCAAGTGATGTCACTTGAGACAGCGTCGATTAGGGTGAAGTTACAAAGTAGGGATCGACACTGCAGTCAGCTTCTCCCGGTTAGGATTCCTTCAGTGTTCATGGTTCAGGAGGTTTCTACTGGGAGCCCAGTTATCCACAGAGGTCTCCTCCTCTCTAAAACAAACAGACCCGCTGATTAAAACCACTAAACACACTGAATAAAGCAATTCCACCTTAAAAATCACTGTTTGTCCCAGGCTGTTGGACAGACAAAGGACGTCCAGGGGGGGCTGTGAGCCGAGCTAATGCTAACGTTAGCTCAGCTTGTTTCTCTGATAACTTAAGATCCAGACGTCCGATGACTAAAATCCTTCATCTGGTTCAAATCTAGAGTTAGAAAGCACCAAGATCTAAACAGTGGATGGTAGACAATGTGGCTTCAGACTGGATAAACAGTCAATGTATGACAATACGATACGTATCATGATACAGGGTCTACGATTCAGTGTACTACAATAAATTGCAATACTGTAAGTAAGGCGACATATTGTGATTTTTTTTTTTTTTTATCAAATTTTAGGAAATTTGTCATAGTATAAAGAACACACCACTGTATGCATACATTTAAAAAAAAAAGTCAAAGTTTAGTGGGATCTGCAGAGAATCCATATGGTATCAATATATTACTCAATATACAAATATATCAATATATACTTAGGTGTACTGTTAGCGGTATGGTTGCATTGTGGGTAATCTAGGCACTAGATTTTGACAAGGTGTGGATTAAATAATATGATCGCTGGTTCTGCTGTATTGATTAAGATCCTTTTTGGGATGACGGTGTGATTGGAGAGTTCTCTTTTTTAGGGTGGTCACAGAATAACACCTGCTGTAATCACATCCAATTGAGGCAATTTAAATGCATATACTGGTTGGAGGGTGTCTAGTTGAAAGTGTTTAGGTCCAGCGTTTGTAATTGTTTGTGTAGTGACTGCTCCAGAAACAGACGCGGCTCTGAGACGTCTTATTCTCAGTGCAATTTCTCAGTCCCAATTTTCACCAAAATACCACCTACCTGCTATGTGCTGCCTCATTTTCTTTTCTTTTATTTATATGGTATTTTTGGTATTTCTGCTTCATTTAGATAGTGGCAAGAAACAGGAAAGTCAGGTGAGAGAGAGAGAGGGAGAGAGAGCAAGAGAGAGATGGGATGACACGCAGCAAAGTGCCTGGGCTGGAATCGACTCATGGTACGCGCTCTACCAGGTGAGCTCCCGGGGGGCGCTCACCTGCACTGGGCTCAATACCAAAAGCAAAAAGAGAATGTGAAGGTCAGGAAAATAGCGAGCTGTCGCGCACTGCTTGTTCTGGTCGATGTGCTTCCACTAAAATAGAGCCAGGTGTAATGATTCCCAGCAGTCCTGTGAGGCGAATGAGTTGATCCAGGGTCGGCAACATGTTTACTCAAGTACAGCATGAGGGGAAAGTTCTTTGAACCGGCGGTAATGTTTACTGGTGAGATAATTTGAGGGATTATATCCACCAGTAAACATAAGTCTGGTCTTCAGAAAACAGTGAAGCTGCTGTCAGCCTGTTTATGTTCAACACAAGTCTGACTCTTTGGATTCTTACTCTGCGTCTGATTCTGCGTTTGCACCTACATACAGATTTTATTTATTTTACTTTTCATTTTTCTGTGGACATTGTAATCCCATTCATTTGTACCCCACGCTGCCTCTCCCCTGCAGTTTCATGGTATTCACACCACATCCCTGTGCATTAATCTCTTGTTTGGCTTGCATTCTCTGAAGCTGTATGCAAACAGTCATTTTCCCCCCCTTGCTTGTGTAAATAGACCCAAACACTGTCTAACGTTTACCCTCTTTGATATACTTTGAGTAGGGGTTTATCACTCTGATGAGACTCCAAGGAACTGGGAAGCAATTTAAATTCACTCTTTGCACATCGTAGCTGACGGCTTTTTGACATGTACTGCGAGTTGGCAGCATACAAATAGCTCAGAGGTAGTTGTAGCAGTCTACCTGTTGAGGGGGAACAAATCTGTCTCTGTAGTTTTCTTTCATTTGAGCAGCATCTTCTACCTGCACATGTCCGGGTATTACTTGAAGGCGGCGGGGATTCTTTATGAATATCCATATTCTCTGAATCTCTCCATGTCTCTCTCTTCAGTTATTGTGCTCACAGCTGGTATACTGGGATATAAACAGAAAATAAATCGCTTGAATGAAAGAATGTGTCAGGTTTTATAATGTCTTATACCTACACATCCCACAGTGGATATGTATCATTGCTGTCACCTATGAATAATCCTGATGATGGATCAGGTAATTGCCAGGTCCTAATGTGTGTAAAATACATTTAGCTACATCTCTCATCTGACAGTTTCTTAAACATGTAGTTGTGAATAATTGCAACCACCTTTGCAGTGATTATGGCAGAATTCACAGGCATGACGTCTGACTATGTATAGCTACTATGAAGCACAGGCAATGAGCTGTGTGTTTCTGAGGTGTTCAGCTGGCAACCCTGTCTCCCGAAATTACGTTTATATATATATATATATGTATGACTAATTTAACAGCAAATACATTCAGATGGAAAAGTTGGCCAAATTATGTTTTATATAAAGATAATAATGTTAATTAACATATCTGGCAAGTTGCAAAAATGGTGATAATGAACATATCAGTAAATATTCACTGATGTATGTCTTTTTTTTTCTTAGGAGGAAGCGTCCTCTTCCACTATAGAATAGGCAGTCCATTTATCCCATTTTCTAAAGACGTTTGCCCCCCTAGGTCGCAGACAAAAATTCAATTCAATTCAATTCATTTTTATTTGTATAGCGCCAATTCATAACAGAAGTTATCTCAGGACACTTTTCAAATAGAGCAGGTCTAGACCGAACTCCTTATAAAAAGTCATCCTTTCGATTACAAAGATCTTTTTGTCCTTTCACTGCCTGAGACTTGGAGGCTCAGGTTTGTACCATGTTCAGGCCCAGTGGATTATTGCAAATGCCATTAGGAGCAGTTGGAAGAATCTGATCATCTCACAGATTATCTGTTTCACATGCTACTGTCAGGATATAGTGAAAGTTTCAGCAAATTTCATGTCCCAAAATCTTTCTTTTCTTTTCCTAATATAATTAGAAATTTTGGACACTGCCAAAAGATATGGCAGTGGTTGGCGTCCGTTTGTCCACACTGTCTCCAGCACTGCTGTTGTGCCTCTAAAGAAACCCAAACCATCGCCCAATATCAACTGGGATCAGTTTTCAGAGAAGTGAGTAAGTCAAAGGATCATCAGTCATTATTTGGATATTGTCTGAGCATTGGGAATATCTTTACCACATTTTGTGTCAATTCATAGAGTAGATGTTGAGATATTTTACTAAATCATTGTACTGCTGGTCAAAAGACACTGAAACCTTTCAGGTAAGTTGGGCTCTGTCACCTTCTACCCTGTAAATACACTAAATACATATTTGGTCAGAACTGAGTTAAAGCATAAGGCTGATGAGTCAGGTTTAAAGTGTGTAACATTGAGGAGGATCTATTGCCAGAAATTAAATATAATATTCATAGCTATGTTTTCATTAGTGTATAATCACCTGAATATGAGAATCATTGGGCCTCAGGCAAGAAGTGATATACGAACACATTTTTTTTATATCCATGATTTGTTCTCATATTGTTGGTGCCCATTGATTTCTGGGATTCCCCAATGTTTTATTATTTTTGCTCTTCTCTTGGGCCAGAGAACATTTTAAAAATTGTCTAGAGCACTCTTACCAAGATTTTAAAAAATCATCTTTTTCTTATAGACCAAGAATTGTTTGTCCTATGCAACGAAACATAGGTTAACCATGTGAGGAATATGAAAAAGGCATGAATATGATATAAACAGATTAGATGATAGTTTTAGAGTAATTATAGTGTTTGGATTCTTAAATTTGTGGGCTAAAGAAATATTCAGCTCAGTTTTATTCGTATAGCACCAAATCGTAACAAGCGTTATCTCAGGACACTTTTCAAATAGAGCAGGTCTAGACCGAACTCCTTATAACATTATTTACAGAGACCCAACAGTACCACCATGAGCAAGCACTTCCTTTTATGAGGAAGAAATATTATACAGCTATTACATTCTGACTACCTGGGCTCCCTGGTAGGCAGAATGTAATGCAGCCCCATACCAACAGACTGCTCTGCACTGTGTGACACCTTTCTATCAGAACCAGTATTAACTGTTTTGAGCTACAGTAGCTCGTCTGTTGGACCACACGGGCCAGCCTTCACTCTCCACATGCATCAATGAGCCTTGGCCGCCCATGACCCTGTCTCCGGTTCACCGCTTGTCCTTCCTTGATAGGTACTGACCACTGCAGAGCGGGAACACCCCAGAAGAGACAGAATTTACCGAAAATGAAGAGAAAATACAAGAGAAACTTGAGAGAATGTGGCAGCATGAGGCCCATTGCGTTTTAGTTACCTCTGAATGAGCTGTTTTTATCCACAGTAGCCCAGAATGGACAAACCACACACTGGCACTCGATAGGGCCTTTCACAGCCACCATAGTGTCTCCTGCATGCTCAGTTAAGTCGAGGGGTTTCAGTTAGTTGCAACTGCAACTACACCACTAGATGCCACTAAATCCTATACACTGGACCTTGAAGTCATATAATGAGGACTTGAATATTTCTTCTTCTTTTGAGTCTCAAATAAGATCAAATGTTGCAGCAGTCAAGGCTAATGCAAGTCTAAAGTTTTGGCCTGGTAATGAAAACTAAGACAGGCAGCGCTTGTATTGAAGTATACAGTACTGGTAATATTTAATTGTTTGGCCAATGCATTGAAATGAATTGTTCTCAGCAATGTATAAAACACTATTAAAACGCTCCAATTAATTCAGAACGCTGCAGCACGAGTACTGACAGGAACTAGAAAAAGAGATCACATCTCTCCTGTACTAGCTTCTCTGCACTGGCTCCCTGTAAAATGTAGAATAGAATTTAAAATCCTCCTCCTCACCTATAAAGCTCTTCATGGTCAGGCCCCTTCATATCTTAAAGAGCTCATAGTACCCTATTACCCCTCTAGAACACTACGTTCTCTGAATGCTGGGCTACTTGTGGTTCCTATAGTCTCTAAAAAGTAGAACAGGAGCCAGAGCCTTCAGTTACCAAGCTCCTCTCCTGTGGAACCAGCTTCCAGTTGTGGTTCGGGAGGCAGACACCCTCACCACATTCAAGAGTAGGCTTAAGACATTCCTCTTTGATAAAGCTTATAGTTAGGGCTGGATCAGGTGAGTCCTGAACCATCCCTTAGTTATGCTGCTATAGGCCTAGACTATCGGGGGATTTCCCATGGTGCACTGAGCTCCTCCCTTCCTCTCTTTTTCTGCACTCATTCATGTTCCATTAATGCATGTTACTAACTCCACTTCTTCCCCGGAGTTCTTGTGCTTTCTCGTCTCGCAGGTTCTTATCGATCCTGGTGGAGCCTCCTGCCATGGTCCTGCTAGATTGCCATTGCCAATACTGTTGTTGCTGTGCACCTGTCTGTCTGTCTGTCTGTCTGTCTGTCTGTCTGTCTGTCTGTCTGTCTCTCTCTCTCTCTCTCTCTCTCTCTCTCTCTCTCTCTCTCACCCCAACTGGTCGAGACAGACGACCACCCACCTAGAGCCGAAGGGTCTGTCCTAGGTTTCTGCCTTTTAACAGGCAGTTTTTCCTTGCCCTTGTCGCCAAGTGCTTGCTCATGGTGGTACTGTTGGGTCTCTGTAAATAATGTTATAAAGAGTTCGGTCTAGACCTGCTCTATTTGAAAAGTGTCCTGAGTAAACTTCTGTTATGAATTGGCGCTATACAAATAAAATTGAATTGAATTGAACTGAACTATGAACAGTTTTAAATGTTCTAATAATGCGTTTTTATTTTTTATTGTCAGCATTCAGAGACTGGAAAGACTTGCAAATGACTTGAAATTGTCTTAAGAAGATTTAAGACTTAACTGGAACATGTCCTCAAGGACATGAGACTTGTTTTTAGGTCTAACTTGACAGTCCCTTGACAATAAAGGCATTTTAATTGTTTAAAAGAGAGTTCCTTGGAGTTTTCTTATAATTTGTGTGTCCACGTGCATCCTTATCCAAACACCACCTCAAACAAACTCCAATTGACTCTAGGAAGCGCTCCTATCCAAACCTTTTTTTTTCATTTAACAAGACTTGAGACTTGACTTAGACTTGCCCTCAAGGACTTTAGACTTAAATTTGACCTGACCCGACTCTGACTTGCTTTGATTGATTTTAGACATGACTCATACTTTCCCTAAAAGGGTTAAATTACCTTTAAATTACATCTATCTAAATGTGTTATAAATAATCTAGTTCTTTAGTTCAAACAGACAAGAGAAGCACTTTCTTTGTGAGAATGCAGTTTATAACATTTTCAGGTCTTATGTAAGGTCTGTGACAGTAAATCTGGGTAAAATGATCTGCCTCCAAAAGCATAAAATGAAAAAAGTAAAACGTATCTATCTGTTACACAATTTGGCTAAATCTCCAAGCTTTTTTCCACTTTTTTGAAAAGAGGAAAATCTTTTCTTCTCACTCAAACTCTTCAATCATCGAATACTCTTCATTCATCTGGCTGGATGGTTTTGAATGGATAATACTTTTTTAGTTCTCCAAAACTGTTGAGTCCCACTCGAGTGGGAACAGAACGTTCCTCAGCTTTCACAGAGTATGAAGTTGAGAGTTCCTGTACAGAGGCAGAGCTGACACCCCAGGCACTGTAGCCCCTGGCTGCATGATGGAGGGCAAAGGATAAGAAGGAGACAATCGACTGGAATGCCATGTCAAGGATAAAGTTTCCTCCCAGTGGCACACTCGGGCTGTTTAAGGGCAGGGTGAAAAAAAGGCACCAGAAAGTTGTGATGCATTTATGGTGAAACAGCTTAATCAGGGTAATGTTTTATCTACCACAGGGGCATCCCAGAGGGCACTTTTGCAGCGTTTTTCGAACATGTGGTCGGTCGAGTGACATGATGTTACTGCGGGCATACTTTGTCCTCGGACACTACGCAGAGACAAGTGGATTTGGCAAATATTGTAGGAAGCCCATAAAAAATGAATCCTAAGTACAGTGAGTGTGAGAAGGATTGGGTGAGATATTGTAATTCCACTGGTTTATAATGCAATTTCACATCATCCAACAACTGTTCTATCCACACTGCAGGCGGTTAGAGAGCACAGGAGACAGATGTGGACATCCAAGAGTTACGTCAGTTTAAGAGGATTCTGTCCTACATACAGCTTTGATTCTCTGCCCGAACCCCTATTGGACCCGACACAACCTGGTCGTGCTCAGGCAGGATTTCATATTTTATTAATAATGCATGCAACTGTAATTAAGGACTTAATTTGTTATGTATTAGTTTCGATAATATAATATTTGCACAGTGTAGTTTACTTTAGCTTGTAATAAACTATTTAAATTATGTATATATTTATTTAGTTCTGGCGGAAATCTGGGCTCGGGTCGGTTCGGACCCAAAACTGCTGCTGAGCGTTTGGGCCTGAGTAAAGCTCTAGTCCTACACTGGAGGAGATGATAACGAACAGTGAAAGAATTTTGTTAGTGAGATGAAATAATTTCACTTTATCCAACAGGTGACATTTCTAATGGAAAACTTCTTTTAACATTTTGTCTGAAAAACAAGCGAAGATACAGCAGGAATGTGTGCCACCGTGTCCCCACCTTCTCTTCCTTTGTTTCCTGTGAGGACACACTGCCTGCTCTCAGTGGTGTCTCTGCCTGCGAGCGGCTCGTCAGGAGGGAAGTGTCTCTGCAGCAGCAGCAGCAGCAGCGCTGCATGTGGTGCTGATGCTGCGCGCTCCTGAGCCACAAAAAGCCTCTCTGGAGTCTGAAGACCAATCAGAGCGCTTATCAGTCTCCACCATCCCGTCTCTCTCCGGCGCACTTGTTCACCACGCTCCCTCGGCTCTCTCTCACACACTCCGTCCTCCTGCCTCTGACAGAAAGATGGTACCGTGCACAGTGCGTCCTGCACGCGGACCGGAGGTGTCACTGACCCACTCGCTGCGGGACTTTTAAACTCACCATGCCGTATTACGTTAGGTTTGTGCTTTTACTTCTGTGTCTGGTCGTGATCGGGGAGTGCAGGAAACACAAAAGTAGGAAAAAGCGCTGGTCCGCGCCGGCGGAGACGCACAAGCCTGGAACGTAAGTACTGTGAACCCTTTCTTCTCTTTTATTTGGATTAGAGTGGGATGTGAACTCTGACCTCCAGAGATCATCATAGGACGAATGTCCAGCAGGAGATCAGGGGAATTCCCTTGGTTTTCAACCTCTGAGAACTCACATTTAGTCCTGCAGTTAACACAGCAGACAGTGAGAGACAGACAGTTCAGATCTATGATGAGGCAGCAGCTTTGCGGATTTTCCCTCCAAGAACATCCAGAATGCAGGGGCGGATCTAGAGAAATATTCATGGGGTAGCCAGAGGGTGGCTGGAATATATGCTGATTTAATTTTTACTTTAAGGCTCAGATTATTATTCTATGTGACATTTTGCTTAACCAGTAACAGCCTTAATATCGCTGACCACCAGACTCCATAGACATAAATGTTAATTTTATCTCCAGGGGCGGCGCTAAAAAAATATAGGGGTGTCCATGGCAGACTTTAAGCAGAAATGATATAATCACATATATCAATATTTGCTTGGAAAATCCCCCAAATGAAGATATTTCAATTCAAAAACATTACTGTGGCAATTAGTAAAGCACTGAATAGAAATATCCAAAAGGTGGTATTAGAAAGCAGTACATTGTTTTATTTCCAAATATACATCATATAATATATAATGAAGCTATAATAGATGAATTTCCATTTTGTAGCATTTATTTTTAATATGAATGTAAATGAATGTGTGACATATGACAGCATTTGACACCAAACTTGGGTGGCCACTGCCCTATGGCACCCCTCTAAATCCTCCCTTGACTGAATGTTAGTGCATGCAATCTGCACGGCCAGAACTTGTTCCATCAATTTCCAGCCTTAAATCATTCAGTTTAGGTTGTGGTCACTAATAACAGGGCCCTTCACGCTGCCGTCACACTGCTGTTGGGGGGGCGGCTTTATTTGTGGGAACCAAACCGAGATCGATCCGCTGTCCTTCAGCTACACATAAAAACTTCCATCAGCAAAGAAAATCCATCTCCATGCTGGCTGTTGTCTCAGGTGAATGCAGATCCTTTATTAGGACACTCCAAACAGACAGACTGAGAGTGGAGGAAGTTAAGGAGGGATTTTCTCTTTAAGCATATTGTCTGGCTGGTATTTCCTCCTGACTGTCACACTCCTGTCAGGATCAAACATTCCTCAGCAGCAGCTTAAGTTATCCTCTTATAATGTGCATGCTTTTACAGACTGTACTAGCACCAGCCAATACATCAGTACATTCTCCAAAAATGCAGCTCATATTTTCTCCTGTAATCGTTTTGTCTCTAAAATTTGGTTCCTTAATTAATTAATTATTCCATAACTATTCTTTGATTTGACTCCCTTCTGTGTCAGTCCAAGAGTTCACTAAGCAGAACATCATTTTTACAGCAGGGGCGAATCTAGAGCGGTAGCATGGGGGCTCTAAAAAGTTTAGTGTCAAATGCTGTCAGTTTAACACATTAATGTCAGCTTGTTCAATGCAACATGTTATGTGTTTCCTTTGTTAGGAAGTGCAATGAATACAAGATTATAGTTTAAATAAAATTTTACCGCCAAGAAATATCCGAGTGCTAAACATATGTAATTTAGCTTACTCTTTCTTTCCCCTCCCTCCATTCTTAATTATAAAGAATAAGTCTAAGGTTATTCTATGTGTTTCTTCTCGTCAACGCAATCCCTGTGCAGAGCCAAACTAACAAGTATTATGTGTGTATCAAAATCTAAACTCTTCCTCTGGCTCCATTGTTGTCCAAAAACACATCAGTGAACCACACTGTTGCACTGGCTGACATGTTCCTTCATTACTATGAACACACACTTGTGTCAAATACACCGTCCTGCTGCCCCAGATACTCACTAGGGAACCAAAAGTGTATTGGTTCACCGCTGAAAATAGTCCCCAACAAACGCACTACTTCCTCCTGTTTGTTTGATAAAAACCACATCGACCTGCTGTTTAAGGAAATTACCTTCAGTAAGAACCAGTGGGCTTGGAGCTGAGAAGTCCAGCCCAGTATCCTCAGAAATCCATTCATATTGGACAATTCCACACCATTGACATTGATTTGCACCCAGTGTCATTATGGTGTCAGTTTAGAAGATAGTGTGTCCTTTATGGCACAGGCATAAAGCAAAGTGCAACACACGGCATGGACCATTGCATTATGTGACAGCCGTCACACACTAAATCCAACGTACAGTCGAGGTAGATTAGCCGGGACGTGCCGATCCGGAGAGTGAATGTAATGAAATTGCTGCTTTTCTGGCAAGAGATGTGTCAAGAAGCCGCCATGGTTACAGTAATAAACACTTAAGGTTATGGAAGCATGATTTTAAAAAACAATCTCGGCTCATGATCTGCTGTGTTAACATCAGATTTCCTGTTAACCCATCTTTCAACCTCCTCCCTATAATAACATCCTGACTTCCTCATTTGCTCCTATTATTACAACAGCTGCTAGACATTTTAGAGTACTTGCTGAAATGACTGACAATGTCCCTCTTGGTTCTTCTTCTCAGAGCTGTGATGATGATTTAAGAGTACAAAACATTGAACTAAATTAATATCAATGTTCAACGATCCAATATATCAATACAAAGTGAAAACATCGATCTATATTGTCATCTGTATTTTGTGTGGGAACAGGCACATGCCATATGCAAACAATGCCCTCGCAAGATAAAATACGTAAATGTCTCATATTGATTGCAGGCCAAAATCCTATCCTGGCAGACTTTGTGATATGGGCAAATATTGTATTGTCCTCCAATGACGAAATACACATCGTAATGACACTGGTGGTTTATGCCCCTATTTTAGGGGTGCTGTATTATTTAAAAAATACTGTCATATGTGTATTGTTAAGATGATATCAACATGCCATTCTTAAATATCATGATTATTGGCAAGTTTAGTAAACCTCTGGTTAAAAATCGTCCACTATCAACATTCTTTTCAGGCATCAGGTTTGGGAAATTATAAAGTATCGAAACACACTAAATACAGAATAGTACCTGCCGTACCCTTTAAGACCAAACTCTAATGGCTCTCTTCTCTGTCTTCCTGTTGCCAGGCCTCTGTCAAAGAAGGTTGCGGATGGAACCAAAAGCCGGAAGGTGAAGACCAGCCACCTTCTGCGCATAGACGAGCATGACTTTACCATGAGGCCCGCCTTTGCAGGTAAACTCAGTGAGCTTCAGGAGATCACTTACAGTCAGCGATCATATCAATGACAACATGAGAATTATTTTTCTGTTGTTATTGTGTCTTTAAAGAAGTGAGTGATTTCACACACCAACAGGTTTAGATTATGTTCACCCTTTCTTGAACCTGAGCGTGAAGTGAATGTTGGGACCATGCTGACTGGGAAAACACAAGCAGGTTTACTTTTCTGACCTGTCTTCTCTTCCACTCCACTGCCAAACCTAAAGAAGAAATAGGCGAGATGTGGAACTCACAGCCCCAAGCCAAAGAACAAAGATAGAAACGGAGAAATCCTCAGCAGGTTCTGTCACACTGTAAATACATTCTGACACATTTATCTTACACTGATCAGTCGTGTGTTGGTCCGAAGCAAAAGTCAACTGTGTGTCCTTGCTTTACACCTTGAATGTCAGGACAATGGCACTGCTGTCGGGATTTGGGGAGGCAATTAAAAATAAGAAGCTTATTTGTTGAACTAAAGAGTCCCATTCTGTGGCATTTAGCATAAACGGGCCCTGTGTAAGCACAGGAGGAGGTGGGGAGCTAAATGAAACGTCCCACAGTGAATTTCATGCTCCTCTGGGGACTACAGTTGCAGCCACAGATGGGAGCGCGGATCCCACTGAGGATGGCTTTTTGTCTTGCGTTCGTCAGCCTTTGTTTGCAGCCAGCTTCTGCAGCAGAAGAAGAAGAAGAAGACGGATGCGATCTTCTTATTCAAACATCATCAAAAGCGGACTTGTGTGAGCGCCCCGCTGCTGCCTGCGAGACTGCCGCGCGTTCATTTGGCTGAGGGAGAAAGTGTGTGTGTGTGTGTGTGTGTGTGTGTGTGTGTGTGTGTGTGTGTGTGTGTGTGTGTGTGTGTGTGTGTGTGTGTGTGTGTGTGTGTGTGTGTGTGTGTGTGTGTGTGTGCGTGCGTGCGTGCGTGTGTGTGTGCAGCAGCTGCTGCTGTGGTTCCTCCTGGCTTCAAAAAGAGCGACGGCAGTGTTACTAATGAAAGCCTCTTACATGGCAGCTTCCCGTTCACTGGGGGAACGATATGGAGAACAACAATGTTTCGTGCCAATGGGGACGTCAGTGTTGGGATGGAGAAAAATCCTAATTCAGACAAATCCTTACTGTGGAGCACTTTATTGTCCAAATGTAGACAATACACTTCTTTGTTGTCAACCCATATCCCAAAGAATAAAGATACTGACTAGAAAAATGTTAATTGTTTGGTTAAGATTATTTTGCTTCTACACCAAGAGCAACATTGGAAAGGGTTTGTATTATCAATAGGGTGCAGGTGGAGCTGTACAAACTGATAAGTTATCCTAATTACAGCACCTGCACCGCTCCCATTGGGCGGTCCCAAACTGTGGCCCGACAAATCAAACACATACAGGAAGCTGAAGGGTAGAAGACATTTGTTTGGGTGGAATGTTGTTGTGATTTGATGGGCACATCTATTTACGGAGCTCCTCCTCCCTGTCTGCCTCGGGTTTAACATCTGATGGGGTGGATAGAACCTGTCATGCATTAGTCACATTTGCATTAAAGAGACAGCACTTTTTCTCCTCGTTTCACCCGTGGAATTCTGAAGAACCCTCCTCCTAATGCGTCCTTTCACTTGGATTTTCTTTCTAGCCCGTCTAATCTAGCCAGGGCAAAGCAACCCGTGGATTTACAGTTGCTAATCCATGCAAAGAGGAGCAGTCCGGCGTCATTAAGTGGAATTGATAGGGTGTTTTTCTCTCTCTGTTCTAGACACATGTGTAGAATTTACACAAGGAGAATTCAATCTGTGAAAGCGTGACTGGGTGAAAAAAATTGATATTTGACTTTCTGAAGCTTTTCAGAAGCTTTCCATGAGTAATTTACAAGATACATTTTGTTTGTGTGAGGAGGATGATGGACAGGTTTATGTATCCAGCAGGCCCTAAAGGATAGTAAAAAGTTAATAATACACGAGTTAATAAGGAATAAAACATGCAGTACAATTCAGTATTATTTGGCTGCAACCTTACTTCTGGTCTGATATGTTAGCTAGATAGTTATTGTTGTATTACTCCAGCGTGTAACATTTAGGAGGATCTATTGGCAGAAATGGAATGTCATATTTATTTGTATGTTTTCATTACTGTATAATCACCTGAATATAAGAATCATTGTGTTTCCGTTACCTTAGAATTAGCCGTCTTTATATATAGATGCCATGGGTCACCTTCCATGAACTGCCATGTTTCTACAGTAGGCCATAAAAGACAAGCCAAACACTGGCTCTAGATAGGGTCTTTCACATGATGATAGTTTTTCTTTCATGCTTGGAAGGGGAGCTTATGGGAGAAAGTCTTTTTTTGGCCAGTGTGCATCAAATGACGGACGCCATTGCTGTAATTACCTCAGTATGGCCACTATGTAAAGTTGGCGCTCCTGGGGCTTGGTTTTAGCATGTCACAGATAAACATTTCAATAGCTTTATCTCAAAGTAAAACAAGACTTAAACACAACATACCTCACACCTTGTTGTTTCCTGCTTGTGGTCCCATTCCACTCACACCTGTAGTTTGTTTCCTCTGGCCAAAATCAGTTGATGAGTTACACTGATTGAGCAAAATTTTTTTGAGCGTCACAATTCCCGCGAAATGGCTCGGCTCACTATCAGAATTTGACCCGTTCAGTCCGATAACATTTAGAGCTGCACGATTAAATCATTTTATCCCCATTCAAGTTAGCGAAGGGCTAAACTGGAAGTTAGGGTAATTTGTTGAATGTTCTTAGCTTCATGTGTGGAATTCACTGAGCAGTTTCCAGTGGAATGAACGTTGTCACAGGTGGCACCTGGCAACACTGATGATCCGTATTTTGAATCGCTGCACGGAAGCTCCCAGCGAGCTCCGATCCCACTAACAACCTGTGCCATATACTTCAGGCTGCTGCTATCCACCTACTCTAATCTCCTCACACTGCTAAATAGAGCAAGTTGTAGCTTAAAATAACATAAACTGTCAGCTGTCACAGATTGCAAGTTACGCAAGTTAATATGCAATTAGTAAGTTTTGCTAACTCGTATCATAAAGGTTGCTTATTGTCGCAGACTGAGTAATGACACTTTGAAGCTGATATTGGTCCGCTACAGTTTCTTGTCATTGATCTGTTTGTGTGCTGCTGGTGAAGAGGCGTAGTTATAATTCAGGGAACTCACACAGACATGAGATTGATAAAAATCTTCTCATCTCACTCTCAGAAAGAAAACTATCAATTTCAGAAAACACAGAGCTATTCATTTATGGGCTGCAGCTGTTTTATTCCCCATAATCCCAGTGGCATTCTATTATGTTACCATAAACCTCAACAATTCTGCAACAAATGATATGCACTGTTAAACATACATGTAATGTTGTACAATCTAATGTGTTTTTTTCCACCTTGGGTGCAAGACGTAATTAAAATTTTGGCAAAGCAGGCAACCAGATCTCAAATTGCCAACAACATCTTTCCGCTGTTTTTCCAACAATCACCTACTTGGGTTTGGTCAAAATCAACCAATCTATTGAAAATGCTTGACTTCACAATAGCTTTTCAACAACTGTGATGCATGTTGCAGTGTCTTTAGGCATTTTTTGCAAAGAAATTGCAGGTAAACGTGAAAATTGCTTAACGTATTTGTCTAACTCATTAAAAATAATCTGTAAATAATGTTTTAAAGAGTTCGGTCTAGACCTGCTCTATTTGAAAAGTGTCCTGAGATAACTTCTGTTATGAATTGGCACTATACAAATAAAAAAAATGTAATTGAATTGAATTGAAAAATCTAAGGCAATTTATTCCAATGAGAATAAAAATTGCACCAATCATCGTAATTTCCAGGAGAAATGGAAACTGCAAAAGTTGTGGTGATCTGACAAAATTGCAAGGGCGTGCAGAATTCAAGGGAATTGGTTGAATTTGTGTTAACTGTTGAGATTGCAACATCGCAACTTCCTAGGTAATTCGCTGAGTTAGATGAGAAAATAGCGACGAAATGGGCTGCTATAGCTTCCATGTAATATTATCTAATCCTTGGGTACAAACAAAAAAAAAGCTTGTTTTAGCCAATTGTCTTTATTATGGAAAGGGTCCCTATAGATCTATCGCTTGCCAGCAGATTCCATAGACAAAAACAGCAATTTTACCTCACATATCATGGTAACATCATAACTTCATTAAAAGTGGACAGAAACAAAATAAAACTCACTAAAACCATCTTTGTTAGTCTTTCCACTGTTCCAACAATCACCAGCTCTGGTTTGGTTGAAATAAATCCTTAATTCACTGACGTAGATGATAAAAACAGTAGCTTCAGTCACTCTACTCAGCTGTACACGGAGATAACCGGCTATGGAAAGTAACCACAGACAAGCTACGATACACACAGCCTACCTAATTGTTGTTCGCTTCTATATTAATGTTTTGTAATGTAGTCTTGAATCTTAGAATCAAATTATCCAATCCTGTGGCCCTGTCTAGTAAGGGGACCGAGAACAAAATATAATTTTAAGATGTTTATTGCATAAATACTGCATTCCTATATAAATGTACATTGTATATATTGTTTGATCAAATTAACACTAATTAATTAACAAAAGCAGCATTCCTACATTAGATTACTGTCTTATATGGAAATCAAACTATAATGATGCTACCATGTGTAGTCTGCTGTGTGCACTGTACATATAGAGCACTTGAAGGAGACTGGGTGCCCATGCGATGCAAAGAGAGCAAGAGGAACAGGGGGGCCACAACGCATTTTTGCCTCTGGCGTCCTGAATGCTCTAATCCAGCCCTGCTTGGGGGAACTTTATTTCAGTTTTCTTTTCTTTTTTGCTAGATGAATGCTCAAAAATACTGAGTTCCATTAGATTAGCACGGAGTAGTAAAGACATGAGGGAGAGCTCACACATCTTAAAAAGTACCTGCAAAAACCCAGGAAACTGCCTTCACAAGTGAAATATTTCCCTATTGCCCAATTTCAGGCTTTACACTTACTAATATGCCTGAACATCTGCTGGTACAAATCAAAATAAAAGTCTCTCTCCAACACATTCATTTCTTAGATTAATCATCATTATGTAGCCTATAAGTGTAACTTTCTTACTTAGAGACATTATGAAATTTCATCCAAAGGGAGAAATAAGTCCATATAAACAGTGACTCAGATAATTAGCCTGGTAAAAAATTCAGTAGAAGGATAAATCCCCACATGTAGCTAATAAGATGTTTGCTTTTATGTCACATTGTGAATGCATATGGATTATGTGCTTTTATTTTTGCTTCAATGATAATTCCATTTTAAAGAGTTAGACGTGGAGTAAAATGATGCCATCGGGGTTTAGTGGAGCTCTCAGGAAAGCAGAACCATGAAACTATCAATAAGCCTGTTCTGCAGGCTGTGTGCCCATAAACAGGCTGTTTTGCATTTTAACTTTGACTTATGGTGTTTGCTCCTCTGTGATGTTGATACTCAGTGTTGTGGCACTGTAAGGTCAGGGAGAGAGCACTGGCTGGCGATCTCTTGCCTCATGCCCCATTTGAAAACAGCCCACACGGAAGTGCTACTGAGGGCTACAAGGGCCAACAGGAATTATTAAGTGGAGCATCGCTATGACGCATTCATGGGTCTCATCTGATAACCAGTGACGTGGAATAATTCGCTGATGCTGTCAGCTCAAAATAGCAAAAGGAAATCTTCTGGCAAAACCACACACAGGACATTTCATCTGTGCCCGATTGTCACGCCCGAACACACAAACCTCACTTTTTCAGCCTCAATCTATAGCCCACATTTTGAACATTGAAGAGCAGAAAACAGGCTGTCATACCCTGTAATTTAGGGAGCATACACAGCTATATCCCACTGGACAGACCCTTTTACCGCTGCTGGATTCTGGCTGTGGCCTCCTGTAACCCAGCTGCAGAGAGATCTGAGACAGAGCATAATCACAGACCCATCCCGCCCGCTGGTGCAGACTTTTTTCTCAGCAGGTGTCTGGTGTTACATCCACCAAGGCATCATGTCAGCAGGAGCTCAGGCATCGCTGACTCTGGCACGTGATATGTGGCATATGGTGTGAGTAGGAGTGGGGAGGACACTCTGCTGACAGCTGGAACTGGGCATGAGTTAATATCCCCCCCTTCCAGGTAGCAGCTTTGTCGTGCCACTAGTTATGTAAGGCTGGCACCCTCACTGCTGCTCAGATTAACAATACTACAGCAGTCAATGTGACTTTAATACACACATGACAGACGGGTGTGTGGATTTGTTTTGCTATTGATGGTAAGACTACTAGGATACTCTTCCATATCACTGGAAATCCCAAACTGGCCTTAAGTATAATCCTCTCAATCAGCTAAACAACACATGTCAACAGATATGAGAATATTGTGTTCTGTTTAATGCAAGTTCTCATATGAAACAATTACTCACAGCTTAGCAGGATACCCTGTCTTGCTATTTTAGGATTGTATGTGATAAGATGATCTGATGACAGGGATACAGATCATAGCAGGTACTGCTGCAGAACTGACGTCATATTTCTATCAAAAAGCATTGTTGCATATCAGATTGTTGGTTATTATTCTTCATCAGAGACAAATAATAGTATGGAACATGCCAAAAAAACGTTATGGTTCAAACTTTAAAGATTATATATACGAAATTCACCTCCAAAACACTAGCATCTCAGACCAAAACAATGCGCGTTACAGCGCCGACCAGACTCCATTGACATTTAAAATTGTCATTTTATTTTGCAGATAATCATAAAACACACTTCAAACTAGACAGAAATAAAATAAAACTCACCAAATGTCTTTCCCTCGTCTTTCCAACAATCACCAACTCTGGTTTGGTCGTAATAAATCCTTAATTCACAGAGTGAGATGAGAAAATAGCTGCGAAACATTGGAGACAAATGCACCTGTCAAAGTACGTCCACTAAAAGTGCTTGTTTTTGCCAATTATCTGATTGTTATTCTAAGTGACCTTCTGTTTAACCAGAAACAGTCTTAAAATCGCTGTTGTTCTCCACCAGACTCCATAGACAAAAAATGGTCATTTTACCTCTAGATCTACAGAAAATGTATTTTAATGTATTAAATTTGATAGCTTTCAACACCAAACCAAGGTGGCAGCTGGGGAGGCCAGTCATCTTTTAGGGGTGGCCACAGCCACCCTATGCCACCCATTGTATGTCATTGCAACATCATAACGTCATTCAAGGTGTATGGAAACAAAATTAACTAACTAAAAACAGTTTTTCTTTCCACTGTTCACAATCACCAGCTCTGGTTTTTGTCGAAATAAATTCAAAATAAATCGAAATAAATCCTTAATGATAAAAAACATGCGCACCCAGCCAGACCTACTTTATAAACAAAGCACATACAAGCTGCGATAGCAACACAGGCAAAGGAGTGTGATGTCATCTTCTGCTCAGGACATCATGACTACACTATATCTTTACATAACTAATAGTAGCTGTTAAAGTGGCAATACCCAATATTTTTCATAATAACAAAATAGCAAATGATATACAAAGTGAATGGGGTTGTTCATAGAGATCAATCTACAGAGAATAATCAGCTGAATCTGCAGCTCCCCTCAGCTTTTTATATAGCTTTATAGGCCTATAGCAAATTTCACCTCATTGTTGATCTGTCTAGCCACAACTTTACTGTTTTGGTTGATTCTCACCACTCTCGTTCCTCTCTGTAGCAGACAGCTGTTTTCAGAGGAAAAGCTCTAAAAACCCACTGTACACTACCTACTCATGGGTTTAAAAAGGTTGACACTGGACATTAAAAAAAAACATTGTCACTGAATGTAATCCGGGGTTTTTACAGAATCCTTTAATATCAACTTTCTGTCATGCCAGCACTTATATCTCTGAGGATTTTAGATATGCCTGGTTCCAATGTGTGAAATCATTCCACTTGTCACATTAGTATGACGTGCATCTTTGCACTGTACTTTTGGATCTTCTTGTCTTCTTTAAATTCCAAATCTGCTATGTGTTGTAATTTGAAAGCAAAGTGAGATAGCCAATGGACCTGAAATAGTCCGTATGTGCAGTGCAGTTGTTTCTCTGTGAAATATGTGAATACCAACTCCAATCTGTTTGATATTTCTCTGCAGGTCCGGCTGTGCCTGTTGGAGTTGATGTTCAGGTGGAGAGCTTGGACAGTATATCAGAGGTAGACATGGTGAGTGGCTCAAATGTGTGTAGTGGATGTAATTTCACTTGAAAAAGAACTGAAATCTGCTGCAGATACTGAAAATAGTTCTAATCTAATTAGAATAGTTTGGGTGTAAAATCGGAGGATTACTGGGATCATTCTGTCTCTCTAACTTACTATTCAGTCAGGTTTGAAAGCAAAGACCAACACAAGCTGAGAGTAATAAGATTATGGGAGAAATATAATGTCATCATTATTAATGCAGTGGATTATGTTACTGGTGGCAAATATAACCAGTAAATCTGCGACAGACCCAGTTTGCAGCCATGGAAGTTGCTGACTTTAACAAATGAGCTCACACTGCTCTAACACATGGGGAGGAAGACGCTCTCCTAAGACAAAGCAGCTAATGAGGCGGGAACACTCCTCATTAACAGAATGAGAATGGACACATGGGCACCACTGTGACTAAGACTGTGGTAACACTTGTCTTCTCAATCCAACTTCTTTGATTGGACACACCACACTGTAAAATCTGATGAGTTAGTTCAACTCAAACTGTTTGAGGAAACTGATTGCCCTAAACAGTTTAAATGTATTAACTAGTAGCCTAAGTATATGACACTTATATGCAGCATTTCCCCAAACTTATTAAAAATGTGTTAACAGAATGTATCTGAATAAAGTAAGACTGACTTTAATGCATCTTATTTATACAGATGTTACCACTTCATTTGAATGTACTCAGTTTTCTTCTAAAGCAAATTATTACATTACCTGTTAAAACAGCTGACCTACTATAAAAAACAATTTGCAATTAATTCATTATCCAAATGGTTGGCAATTAAATTTCTGTAATGAGATAAAGATAAAGATAATGGGAATTATTTTAAGAAGGATTAAATTATGTTATCTTACTTCTTTTCAGATAAGATATGCTGTTGATTTACAATGTTCAAAGCCCAAATATAGTCTAAAATGATCAGATATCTGTACTCTTCCACTGGCATTAGAGCAATTCCGTACTTTTGAAGTAAACACATGAATGTATCCTTTTAGTTATAGACCTTTAGCTGTTGTTTTTAGTTGGATAATCAACATCAGATTATGAAAGCTTGATGCTAGGAATTGTTTATTTTGCTCAAAGTCAGACTGAATGCATGTTGAGTAATGTAATTAAATCAACCTTCTGTTCTGGAACCCTAAATTGGATGCAAAACTGTCGTCCTGATGTTGTGTAAGCTCCCGTTTGCAAGGACAACCAAGGATTACATTTAATTTGGATCCCACAGTTGTGTATTTAATTGTTTTGGAACAGAGGGAGGAAAAAAATTAATGATTCCAGACGACGGCTGCTCTTAATGTCATTATGTCATATCACAAAGCTGCAGGTTGCTAAACACTCACACAGCAAATGATCTGTTGCTGTTTGATTTAGCAGCTGGCCGGTTTAGCAAACACTAGATTTGAATGGCTATAGATGGTGTTATTCTACATTTTCTAACACACAAAACCAGCAATGTGTTAGTCTGTCTCTCAATACTTTCTGACTCTGACCCTACCCCGTCTGTGGAGCTCAGTCTTAAAATGAGTCTTAAAAGCTGCAGTAGGTAATTTTTATAGCAATTACCTTTTGTCATATTTGCTGAAACTTTCACTATATCCTGACAGTAGTACATGAGACAGATTATCTGTCTCTGGCTCCTCCTAGTGCTCCTATTAGTATTTGTGAGAATCCACCACGGCTAAATGAAAACAACCAGTTAGAACCAAGAAAGATAGTTGATTATGGAGTCTCATTCGATGGCCAAATACCGGCTGATAAAAATAGACATAGTCCCCATGACGTCCCCCATAGGCTCCTGAAGAGCAGTTGTGAAGCTCAGTATGGTCAGCTCTGTGTTGCTCTGTCAACATCTTGGTGGTCCTGACTCCACCAAAGAGGTGGAGCATAGGTGGAGCTGAGAGATATAATTTAAACAGTTGTGTTATATAAAGATTCTGTACTCCCGTACAGTTGTCATGAACGGGAAAGCATTTTTTGTACCAGGCTGTAAACATGTTTATTTTCTGCTGTAAAGTTGGCCATTTTAATATAGGACCTCTGAAACCAGCCTCTATTGGCCGTTGGAGGAACTGCAGTTTTTGCAGTTTGCTTCATTTGGTAAATGGTAAATGGACCTGTACTTGTATAGCGCCTTTCTAGAATTACGACCACTCAAAGCGCTTTTACACTACGTGCAACATTCACCCTTTCACACACATTCACTCAGTGATGCACAGCATCAGGAGCAATTTGGGGTTCAGTATCTTGCTCAAGGATACTTCGACATATGGCGGGACGAGCCAGGGATCGAACCAACAACCTTCAGATTAGTGGACAACCCGCTCTGCCTCTGAGCCACAGCCGCCCAATTTGGAGCCACTGATGTTGCCACTGGTTGGGAATGAGACTCAATTAATGTTTTTCAGACATTTTTATAAAAATTACCTACTGCAGCTTTAAAAACAACTCACAGTCACAGCTGGTCACTGTAGGTTTTAACAAATGTTACTAAAACAGGAGGAAATAGTGCATTTCTTGGCAGGGGTGTTGTAGTCAAACTAACCACCCAGGGCTCCTACATGGGAGGCCCTCTTAAAGTCTGGATAAAAGTTTCTATTTGTAATTTAAAACATGGACATAAGAAAATTAACATGGTTTGCTGAATAAATACATTTGACAAACTATTTTTCTTTAAACAATATTAGAACTTCTTGTTAATCGAGGATTTGTAACAAGGTGTGTAGTGACCACAGTATGCAAGTAAGTTAAGTTAACTAAACTAAAAAGTTATTTTAAGCAATCATTAGTAGCACTTTACAGGGGCCGGTTTAGAGGGGTGGCAGGTGGGGTCACCCCATGCCACCCAAGTTTGGTGTCTAACATTAAAAATACGATGTTAAAAAGCAAAAAATTAATAATATAATGATAAAAATCTAATTAAATAAACAATGATCTGTTATGGCCAGATTTTAGACTTCGTTCAGGCTTAAGTTCAATGAAAAACTACATGTATATGTGATTGATTGATTAAATCTGCATATATTTATGCCACCACTTAAAGTCTCCATGCCACCCTCTGGACACCCCATGAATATTTCTCTAGATCCTGCACTGGCGGTTTAGACTGAAAGGAGATTTGTAACACTAAAATCCAATTTGCTGTATTATATAATTTTAAGATGGCTTTTTTTCTTGTTTTTGTTGTCTAATGCCGAATGCGTGCAATGCATATTACTGACCTAAACAACCATTAACGAAGTTACGTTCTATAACATTTTCTGTCCAAGCAAACTACATCATAAAAGTATCACACAGTAATTGTACAGTGTGTTGAGAAACGAGGGATGAAATGTGCTGAGATTTCAAAATGAACAGACCAAAGTACACAGATTGCTTTAAGCAATACAAATTTTGGTACAAACAGTAGGGATAACCCTTATGTCATCACATATACATGTGTTAGGTTGTTGATGCAGTTATTTGTACATGTGTGAGGATGGATGTCATAAAAAGGAAACGGGCCCAGAATTTACTGCTACAGCAGTCTGTGGAGACTATTTTTAACTACACCAGTAGTGTGTGTGGGGTTGAATCCAAATAAACTACAATGAGTATGTTCATGGTAATGAAGGAACATGTCACCCAGTACAACAGTGTGGCTCTCTGTTGTGTTTTTAATAGTTTTTGGACAACAATGGAGCTCTATGGCACAGAGGAAGAAGATATATCAGCCTTTAATTCACACACAATAGATGTTAAATACATTCACTGTTGGTTTGCACATGGATTTGATGACGAGACAGAAATATAGGATATCGACTGCCTTGTGTTTTAAAGCATGTAACTAAAATGTAATATAACAGTAGCACAAGTAGAGAAGAGTCATACAGTCATAGTGTAGGATACATTAATTACGCCTGTGTATTTATATTTATATATGTTTGCATCTTATGTCTGGTTTACCACGGGTGGCAGTGTAGATCAGCATAGGCACAGGTGCAACAGGGCATCTAATCACACATGAGTGACGGGGAGGTGTCACCAATCACACACTTGTATGCTCAGACCACCAGTCATCATATCACCACGGCTTGTTTGCAACATGAAAGTAATGTACTAAAATCTTCTTAAAGGTCCAGTGTGTAACATTGAGGAGGATCTATTGTCAGAAATGGAATATAATATTCATAGGTATTTTCATTAGTGTATAATCACCTGAAAATAAGAATTGTTGTGTTTTTGTTACCTTAAAATGAGAGTCATGAAGACAGAAAACTGACTAAGTAATGTCAGCCACACATTAGCTGATTAATCATCAGTTGTCAGCTATTAAATTAATTGCAAACTATTTTCATAAGCGATTAGTCGTTTTGAGTAATTTTTTTAAGCCCTGATGGGACAAACCTTCCATGTGTTTCACAGACACTGTGGTTTCGCCTTAGCGTTTAGAAGGTCAGGGTAAAGTGAGGGAGTTGCAACCTACACAAAATTCTACTCACTGGCCCTTTAAGAGATTTAGCTATCAGGGTCATCAAGTTATCAAAGTTTGAAACAGCTAATATGCTGTCAGATAAAAATGTTGAAGGACACAGGCTTAATATCACACTTGAAAACATGTCTCATTAGTAAACTTACAACACATTACATTACATTAGTCATTGGAGATATTCAGACATGCCCCTGATCTCATCTTACGCAACATCAAAGGTTCTTTTATGGTGGGTGCCAAGAGTACAATGTGCTTCTGGAGCCATTATTCCAAACTGATGTGGTCTTATGTAATGCCATAAGGAGAATGGGGTAGAGGATGATCTCCTGTGGCAGGGGGGTGTAGTGCAGTCGCAGGTCCACTCCTGCCTGCATAGCAACAGGAGGAAGGAGGCGAGAAGACAAGGGTAATCTAGGACCAGTGGAAGCTGTGGACAGTGCTTAGTTAACATATGTTCAGCACTTCTCTTGACTGTGTATGTTTAGTCATAAACAACCCATATAATCCAGCAGCCACGGGCCGCAGCAGTGTAATCCCAGAGGAATTCAATAAACCAGAGGGAGCAAGTAAGTAGAATCCTCGTAGTGAGACTTAATCCAGAGCTGATTCTGTACCCTCCCCCTACTGCCTCAGGACTTCACCATGACCCTGTATCTAAGGCACTACTGGAAGGATGAGAGGCTGGCTTTCCCAAGTTCCACCAACAAGAGCATGACCTTTGATGGGCGCCTGGTGAAGAAAATCTGGGTCCCTGATGTGTTCTTTGTCCACTCCAAGAGGTCTTTCATCCATGACACCACCACTGACAACATCATGTTGCGGGTCTTCCCAGATGGTCACGTCCTGTACAGCCTGAGGTGAGGACAGGAAGCAACCCCCCACGCACACATACCTACCCTCACTGGGTTTTGAGTTGGTAGGCCTTGATGTTGCATGCTTAGAGCTGATGGTGTTTACACTCTGCTTTTAATTCCCCAGGGTTACAGTCACTGCTGCGTGCAACATGGATTTCAGTCGTTTCCCTTTGGACTCGCAGACTTGCACGCTGGAGCTGGAGAGCTGTAAGTATTCATGGGCCCTGAATTTTTCAGTCGCTGTTAAGCTACTTTCAATGAACTGAAACATCCTGCACAGACATTTCCCATTCTGGCCCCTTTAAGGGCACTATCCTTCCCATTTCTGGAAGGCTTTTAATTTGAATAAAATTTTAAAAACTGCTGCACACTGCCTTCCAGTTCATCTGTCACCTGTCATTGAGGTTTGCAGAGATTTTTCAATTTCTTGAGGACACTAGGCTTCAATTTGAAGAATGTGCAGGATGACTGAATGACAACAGTACTTATGTCTAAAGTAAAAGTGTGTGCAACAGAGTGGTGGGTTATAGACTGTATATAAAGATGGACGTTGTGTCTCCACTTCCTCCCACTGTACAAAAATGAAGCCAAAATATCCAGATACAACCGCCGCCATCTTGAGCTCTGACTTGAGTGAACTAGTGATCGATCAATGTTGGTGCCTGAGATGTCAATTATGACGTGAAACCCCCTTTTTATAGCTTCACAAATAATTAAAGAAAAATGAACACTTGAACATACATCAGCGTGGTAACAACTACCTAAAATGACAGAAACCATCTTTGGGAAAAATGTATTTGACTTGATTTTTTTGTTTCTCCGAGGGGGGCGGGGTTTATGACCAATTTTCCAACCAGCCACCAGGGGGCAATCAAAATATTTTGGCTTCACTTTTGGGGAGCTGTCATTTTTTCCATCTTTATATAGAAGCAATGGTATTAATATATGTAGATGTGTAAACAGTCTACAGGTACTAGATACCCATGTACAGTATTTCCATACATATTTAAAGCATTATTTTTTTGCCAGTCTTTATTAGCGATTGTCTTTTATTTGTTTGGATATCATTCAAACTCAGCCATCAGTTGAATACAGTTTCAACAGGGATCCAGCTACTGCTGCTGATGCTAAAACCAGTCCAACTTGTTACTTCCACTAATACTTTATCTCCCTCAGACGCTTACACGGACGAAGACCTGATGCTGTACTGGAAGAGCGGTGATGAGTCGCTGAGCACTGATGACAGGATTTCTCTGTCTCAGTTCCTCATCCAGAAGTTTCACACTACCTCCAGACTGGCTTTCTACAGCAGCACAGGTAGACAAACGCTGAGTGGAGTTTGGCATAGATATTATAGATGGAAAATAGAATGGAGTAATGTGATTGATTAATATAAACAGAAATGGAAAAAACCTTAATGTGACTCCTGCATTTTCTTGGGGCCCCGTATTGTCGAGGGGCCTGTGTCAAAATCTACCTTAATACCATTAATATTCCAGTCGACGTTATGTTTACATGGTGCATATTTTAAAATAAATTCATGTTTTATCAACCATAGTTGGAGAACGCTTGTGTAATCAGTAGGGACCCTCAATTTACTTGTTGTCCTGAGGCCTGCTGATGGATTAATCAGGCCCTGATATTGCAGTGTCAGAAGTAATCTAATCTCCATAAACAGATATCTGCAGATGAGTGCAAAATCTGCAGGCAAGGGACCAAGATTCTGGCATTGAAAGTTATGGTTTCTGCAGTCCAAGTAGTATTGACCAATCATGTTTGAGTAGGCTTTGGTTGCAGGTAAACAGTTGCATTGGCTGAAATGCAGTCTCAGAAACCCATCGGCTATTGTCTGATAAAAGATTATTCAGATATCTGTTTATAGAGATTAGATGAAAGGTATCTTTCTCGTCATTCCTGCGTATCAAATTGCTAATCGGACTGCGGAGATGGTCCTGGCCTGGATATCCATTATCGGTTCACCAGATATCTTCCGGCCAGAAGCCCCAAAACATTGGCTGTTGCCCCCAGAGGCTAAATCGTCGTTGAACGACAGCCGATAGATTCCAAGACTGGAAGTTATCGCATTGGCTGAGTTGAACGACAGTGATGCAAGAAAGCAAGACAGGCGAGGACAGCTCATTTATATAGCACATTTCACACACAAAGGCAAGTGCTTAATGCATTAAAAGAAATTAAAAAGATTAAAATAAGTTGAGGAAAGTTTTCTGCTGTTTTGCTGTTTGGTTAGGAGGGGTTTCATAAGGTTAAAGATGTTTTTTGGTCCTAAACTGAAGTAAATTTTTCAAGCTGAAGTGCTTTCAACTCTACTGAATGACACATTGGAAGCAGGGCTGTACTATTTGGGTCGTGTCTTGATCTTGAGACATTTTTCTCGTACTTGTCTCCATCTCAAGAGGTCTTGACTCCTGCCTAGGATTTGGGGTGATTTTTTTTCTTCCTCTGTGTAAGGAGGACGACTGTTTTGAATGAGCTCAAGTAGTTTTAAGATCGTCAAGGATTTGAAATCCTTGCCAGCATTGCCAATGTTTGACACTTCTGCCCCCATTAAAACCGCAGTAGGTAACTTATATGAAAATAACCTTTTGTCATATTTGCTGAAACTTTCACTACATCCTGATGTAACCGGTTAGTTGCTGGCGTTGTCTGCGTTGTGTTTTGATGAAGAGGCCCAGACCAGGATAACTGTGGAGGCAATCTCCGTTTATTCTGACAAAGGTGTAAATAACAATAATATCCTCTGGTCAATTGTTATCAACGTGAGCTCCTACACAAATTAAATGACACAGAAATATGTTAGCGTACTACACAATAAGTTTAAGCTAGCAGGTAAACTTATAAATGTAGTTTAACAGAGGCTAAAACAAGGAAATGTCTGTGACCACAGTGTCGCTTACCTCTCCCAAGGAGTGCAACAGCAAAAGGGGAGAGGCAAAAGCGTGAGACACATTTATAGGGGGGACCCACGAAAGTGAACATCAGGGTACAGAAACTGAGTCTCAAACGTTCCACATATTGACTCAGGTTATAACTATTAAAACAGATTTTGTGTAATTATAATACTACATATTACTGTTGTATATTTGACTCCGTTACACTGACAGTAGTTCATGAGACAGATAATGTGTGAAAAACTGAGCCTGAACAAAAACAACCAATCACAGCTGAGCAAGATGGTTGATTGTTGAGTCTCATTCCCAGTGTCTGTGTTCTCGGTTGTTTTTTTTTCAGCCGTGTGTTTTTCTGCGACTATCCGACTAATAAAAAGTGCACCGACTATTAGGAGGCAGTTCTACCCAACACTGCTGGTTACTCACCACAGTCCACACTGACAACAGCAATCAAAGATATAAAATAGTGCTACTAAAGGTAGGAAATAGTAAAAGCTGTTCACTCAACCAATGAGTTTAACACTGTATCCAGATAAAAGCTGAGAAATGTTTTAGTAACTCAGGAGTTACAACAGTGACGTGAAAAACACACCATTGGGCTATGTTAATATATTTTATATATTTCCCTAACACTGTTATTGTGCCATTCTCTACCTTGCTATATTCTGCTGTCTTAGATTTTGCCATCCAAAGCAATTATCTCTCTTCTATTCATCTGTTGTTTTGTTTGCTCCTTGGTTTGTTTCCATACGCCCCTCAAGATTTCTATCGTCCCTGTGCAGATTAATTGTTCATTTCACCTGCTTTGTGTTTATCATGGCATTTTACATCTGACAGACAGATAAAATAATTTGTGAACATCCGCTGTGTTTTGCTTCCTTCCTGTCTCCAGGCTGGTATAACCGTCTGTACATCAACTTCACTCTGCGGCGGCACATCTTCTTCTTCCTGCTGCAGACCTACTTCCCCGCCACTCTCATGGTCATGCTGTCCTGGGTGTCCTTCTGGATCGACCGCAGGGCCGTCCCTGCCAGAGTCTCATTAGGTAAGAAGACATGCAAGACAATGACCATCGTGCTTGTTCAGATTTAATGTGTCCACAGCAAGGACGGAATTTTGATATCAGAGGTGGGGGGGACACAAGTATTTTTAATAAAACACTAACTCTTTCAGTTCACTGTGTTTTCTAGTAGTTCTTCTAGTTTTCTATTGCTACTTTTAAGTTTACTGTTCCCTTTTTTGGTTTGACTGGTTGTAAAGCATGTAGCAAAAAATCACCCAATTCTGTGTTTCACCTTGTTAGTCAACTTCACTCCCACTCAGTACCACCAATTTTACACTTATTTTTGGAATATATGGTAAACAGACCTCATTTACATAGCGGATATGCTGCTTTATTGGGAGCCAGTGAGGGTGTTGCAGGATGGGTGTAACGCATTTCTTTGAGTAACTTACACTTTGACTTCTAAAGAAGTCTCTTATGTCCACTTTTCTTTTTTTAGACATCCTGGCTGCGCCTTATTACCAAACACACATACGTATACACACACGCACGTACGCACGCACGCACATACGCACATGGACATCAATTCAAACGTTAATGTAAATGAAACCACTGGTATTACAATCCTTCTAGCTGACGTGTCCCAGGCAGAACAAACGCCCAATGTACAGTGGCAGATTAATAAGGACTCCTGGGCAACTAGCAGACCGGTGTGCAAGCAACATGGAGTGACAGCAGGGACGGCCAATCACACAAGAAACGGCAGAGCCAATCGAGGAGCGGGTCTAAACTAAGGGAAACAGGCTTCAGCTTGAGTGGCCGTTTTGTCGCTTGGTCCTAGTGCTTGACCCGTCTCTGTTTACTATAGTGTAACATTGTTTTTGGACGGTAAAAACTGCAGGGGACCAAAACGGCCTTTTGAAAAAGTGCAGGAGACATGTCCCCTGTGTCCCCCCCCAAATTACGTCCGTGGTCCACAGTTACCTGAGACCCAGTTAGCACATGAAAACGCTGTTAACTGAAAGCTTAACATTTGGGGAAATAAGCTCATTTGCTGTCTTTCTGAGAGTGAGCTGAGAGGATTGATGTCAGTTTCGTTTCTGCGTAGGTGGAGTGGGAACGTGGTTAGCTTAGCTCAGTGGTTCTCAATTATTTTCTGTTATGCCCCCCCTAGGGGACAGAAATTTTTTCGCGCCCCCCTGAATTGAAATACTATCAAGAACCTGATAATATTTATTTATTTATCTGTACAAACCACTGTATGAGTTGCTGACACCAGCATTCTGCATACAATCACCTGATTATCAAAATAGATTAATAAAATGAGTTTCTGCAATCTGCAACAACTTAAAACAATTTCCAAGTTCAGTTTATTAACTCAATGTGTAACATTTAAACAAGACTGCTCAGTCTGTGTGATTCTCTAAACAGAGAAAAAAGTGCAAATGATTCACTGGGATGTGCATTTTTATAGACTTAACACAGTAACATTCAAAACTTTTTAAACTGTAAACATTGGTCACCCTTATACTTCATCAGCTTATTCCTTTTCAAAAAGGTATATGACTTTTTAATGTTTGGGGTTTTTTTGTGCAAAATTTGCAACAATATTTAACGTTTGTCTGTTAGATATTCTGTGAGTTGTTCTTGGAGGTCGTCTATAATGTCAAATATATACGTCTGCCGATCGTGTCAGTGGACAGAGGGACAGTATTCAGTGTCTCAGCACTTTCCTCACCTATGATTGTGACAATGTCCAATGCTGCTGGAGTATTAGCTCCTCTGCTATCGTGTGAGGTTTTTGCGCCTTGCGATGTGGCGGTGTTTGTACGAGGCTAACGGTGTGTTTTTATTTACTGCCGCGCTCACAAAATGACCGGCCTGTTGGCGATACTCATCGAGCTTTCGATGAAAAACCTCCAGTGGCTTATTGACATAACTGGGGTGTAAGGTCTCCAGGTGCCGTCTTAATTTGTTTGGTTTCATGCTGTCCGCTGCCAGAGTTTTTAGGCATAAAACACACATAGGTCTTAGGGTTCATTTCCGACCATATTCACGGTAAACCCAAAGGCTATGTAGGCTTCATCATATTTCCTGGTCTTAATAGGCTTATGCCTGTTACCGTTACTTGCTGTTCTTGCCTCTGACGCCTCCTCCGTTTTTCTTTTCACTCCTGTCAGAAACTTCTCCATCTCTCCTCCTGGCTTAGCTTAACCTGTTTGACCCGCCAGACCCAGTAAAAAGTTAATAAAACGCTGTGGTGTTTTTTTTCTCCAAATGTTTCCAAAAGACGAGGCTTCAACTCCACCAAAACAACAGTCCAAGTGTATTTTTCTCAAACACAGTTTGTTTGGCAATAATTTAAACAATTAAATAAAAAATAACAGCTCTGTGAATATAAGGGACAGTCGAAATGAAACGCAGCAGTACACATATATCCGCTCGCTCGACTCAGTCATGTTAGGTGTCAAATTAAACTAGAGAAGCTCATCTTTCTGTTGATACCAAGCAAAACATAATCCGACCTAACCAGCTCATGTCAGCCCCGTAGCAAAGACGCAGCAAAATGTAGCATTTTATCGTCAAAATGTGAAATGCATATGAACCTTATAATTGTGAAGCAATTCTTCATTTACCTTGGGTATGTCTTTTTAGGCGATTTTTCTGAAAATATGGCTAGGACTTAACAGGTTAACATAAAGACTGGAAGCGGGGGAAAACAGCTAACCTGGCTCTGTCTGAGAGTAAATAAGAAACCAACACTTCTAAAAGGGCTAATTAACACATCAGTCTTGCTTGTTTAATCCGTACGTAAATTACTTTTTAAATAAGCAACACTGTGGAAGGTGGAGGTATTTCCTGCTGACTCTGTGCAGCATCCTGAAGTCTTGTTGCCCCAGTGAGGTTACTAGTTTGTTCCTATCGTGCCTGTACACAGACCTATACTGAAACTAAACCAAAAGACTATACTAAAAGTGTATCCGGCAACTTTCACTACAGCCGGAGACTCAAACTACAAAAGTGCTGGGTGAATTAATTCACTGCTGTTGCTGAATAAATAGTTCCAGCATATAACTTTTTAAATGTATATCTATTTATATATTAGACAAATAACCTACAACATGTTAAGCACTCAGCTTTTTAGCACAGAGCCACGATGGCTCTGCCCAGTCTTTATGCTAAGCTAAGCTAACCATGTGCTGACTCCAGCTCTGTATTTAAAACATGACATTTGGTTTTGATCCTCGATGCTCTCCCCCCGTTCTCCGCAGTGAGACAAACCCTTTGTAACACAGAGAGAGCTTTTTAAAACATTTAAAAAGGATGTGCAGAGTAATGTTATATGGTACACTACTTCTGCATGTCTAGAGCAGACCAAAAAATTAGCTTAAGATATGGTGAGAAGCCTAAGGGGCACAACACAAAGTTTTGACTCAACTGGAACAAAGTTGGACTCTACTATCACTGCGCTCTGCACTTACAGGCGTATCTGCTGAATGGAAATGTTCACACATCTCTTGAGATTTGTCCTTCTTGGAATTGCTCAACACATTTGCGGACTAAAAATCCTCACTGTGAAAGCATCACACAGTTAATAACTGACGATTTTAGAATACTGTTATCTCTGAAGTTGTTGAACAGTAGTAGATTTTATCACTTCTGACCGAGCAAAGTTTCCCTAGTTTCTAGTTTCTAGAGATAAAATAGAGCTTCTTCATATTTCCCTAAAATCCTTCTTGACTGCCTTGCTAATACAAGGTTGTATGTTCTCCTCAGGTATAACCACAGTGCTCACCATGTCCACCATCATCACTGGAGTCAACGCCTCCATGCCCAGGGTCTCCTACATCAAAGCTGTGGACATTTACCTCTGGGTCAGTTTCGTCTTTGTCTTCCTCTCCGTGCTTGAGTACGCTGCCGTCAACTACCTGACAACAGTGAGGGACGGTAAAGACCGCAAGCTCAGAGAGAAAGTCAGGGAACAGGTACAGAGCCCTCTTCAGAAATTGTGCAAGTCTCTAAATGGTGCTTTCAACTTATTTATTCATCTTGATTTCTTTCCTCCCTTTCGCCCAGTCCCAGACACTCCCCTGCACCTGTGGCATGTCCCACGCCAGGACCATGATGCTGGATGGTACATACAGCGAGGCAGACGCCAACAGCTTGGCGGGGTACACGAGGGCCTCTATGGCGGCTGAGGACGCGTCAGAGAAACAGGAGCGAATGGTGGTACACCTCTCTCTGGACAACGAGCCCACTGGGACCAAGAAAAAAGGCATCCGTGGCTTCCGGATCATCCAAAACACCCACGCCATCGACACCTACTCTCGCATGATCTTCCCCGGCGCCTACATCCTGTTTAACCTGATTTACTGGTGTGTGTACTGCTGAACTGTAGCAGTAAAAGAAAGAACTGCAAAACCTTTTGGTTGACCTTAGAAGAGAGATTGAGTTGTTTCCATCCTGCATGTTCAGGAGTGGCAGTGGCCATCAGAAGCTTCAGTGGGCAATCAAAGGCTTCTGGGTCTGAATATCTCATAACACTGGACTGGACCTCTTATACAACTTCTCGCTCTTTTACATAATCATATCACAAGCTCATATGTACCCCGGTTAGACTGCAGCAACCTTGTGGGGCTGGTTGCACAAGTTTTGCTCTTAGACTAGTCTGTACAAAAATAGAAGCAAACTAATTTTAAGGCTAAAATGTTACCCCAAGGCTATGGCAATGGTATCCCTGTTGACTCTGCCCACACCAAAGCAGAGATGACTGCCTACCAGATACCATGATGTTTTAAAGCTTTTGTAGCAAATTTCCTGTTTGTTTGCCATTAACTGTTAACACCGTTCAGTTTTTTATGCCCCTTTGTCTTTCCATTCAAAAATGTTGTACACTCATCGCTGAATTTTTAAGTTGAACATCCCAGTATGTTTTTTTCACAATTTGAAGAAATATTTCTGCTTTAACAGGGTTCCCACGCATCCTGAAAAACCTGGAAATTTAGAGACCAGTTTTCCAGTCATGGAAACACCTGGAAATTGAGTAAAATGACCAGATATCCTGGAAATAATCTATGTTGTCCTGGAAAATTGTATTTTAGGTCTATGTAAACTAGTTGCGTATTTTTTTACTCTTTTCTGTGGCGTAGATTCTTTTTTTTCCAGAGCTGCAAGCAGAGGGAGGGATTTGTTTGTTTTTTCTGGAAAATGAGACATTTTCTATCTCTGGAACTGCTCTTGTTTTTAAGGTTTAACTTCAGCTTCAGTCAAAATGCATTGTTCATATTTCAAGTAACCCTAAATGCAAAAATTCATAAAGAAATATTCCTAAACCTATGGGCTCCACTGCCATTTGTGTTAATCAACATTAGAATTAACATAAAACAGCACTATAGCTGCAAGTATTGCAAAATACAAATAAATAAGTTCATTGCCTGTGATCTGTCTACTTAGAACAGCCTCAGAAGTGATATTTGACCATTCTTCATGTTACAGCCAAAACAAATGAAATTGGTTAAAGCGAGTAATTTGGAGTTTTCAGTTTCTTCTGTCTCCACTCGGTGTATCTGGTCTCAAGTGAGTCCTGACTTGTGGAGTGCTTATTAAGCTCATGTATCACCCACATCCGCTTTGATGAGAGTAGTGTCCCGCTGACAAAAGGGCTCAACTCCCATCTTGACTGGTTTCAGACTTTTATGAGCTTAATATATCTATCACTGCTTGGCTACAGAAGGCCCTCACCTGCAGCCTCTGAACACTAACGCAGTATGGAATCTGTCTCATCTTCATAGAATGAGTTTGAAAACGCCACATTTATTTATACAAGGAAGGATATTCAGATACCACTTCCATGAGACGGTTCTCAGCAGAGCAAGTGCTGTCCTGAATTCTCAAGAAAACCTCCTGATATATGTCCTGAAAAATAATTTCTTAAAGGTCCAGTGTGTATGATTAAGCGGCATCTAGTGGTTTAGTTGCAGATTGCAACTCACTTGCTTCACCCTCCGCTGCCAAACGTGAAAGAGAAACTATGGTGGCTGTGAAACGTGTGAAAAATGTAAAAAGCCCTATCTAGAGCCAGTGTTTGGTTTGTCCTTTCTGGGCTACTGTAGAAACATGGCAGACTCCATGGAAGGCGACCCACTGTGTTATTTTCAGGTGATTATTCACTAATGAAAACCAGTGAATATTATATTCCATTTCTGGCAATAGATCCTCCTAAATGTTACACACTGGACCTTTAAGAAGAGTGGGAACCCTGTTTTTATTTCTGTAAATTGACATCCTGTACAGTACCATCTCATCCATTTTTCAGGCTATGTCTCTGTTGCTGTTTTTCATGGATGTATCTAGGAAGGTAACTACGTAGAAAGACAATGACCCCATTTGCCCTCAAAACCTTTTATGAACTGCTTCTTCAACCTGGGGCAAACAGCTGTTCATGAGTTGCTGGTGCTAATCTACAAGTCTGGAACAAGACTACAGAAGACCTTCACAGCAAGCTGAAAAACACAAACCGCGTACATCTTGTCACCTTGTAAAGTTTTTTTGCAAACGTGTTAGCAATCAGTTGCTTCACATCCAACGGGCACAGTAACATTTGGTTTCTGGTCAAATTTACGTGCTCTATGTTGGTCTCCACCCATTACTAAGAAACAGATTTGTCTCTTTAGCAGATAAACTGTGCTCCACTGTGTTCACCAGCTAGTTGTCGCTCTGCCATCTGGATCTCAGCATGGTTAATATATTAAAAAAATATAGCTTGATAACTGAGAACGTATTTGTCCATCTGAACCTGGACTGTTAGATCTGAGCCATAGTCGAATCTTTGTGCAACCAGCCCCTGCCTGGACTTCCATAAATAACACTCTCCTCTCTGAAGCTCTCTATCTTCATGTTCAGACTGTCAAAATAATAAGAGCATATAATTTGGCTGCTATTGCCTCTGTAACCTTTAGAGCTAGCTGAGTCACATTACTGAATGTGTCCAGAGCAGATGGCTAATGAGGCAGTAAGTGAGCTAAATACCAGGCTTTCTTCCCTTAACAGCACTACGACTACAGTGACAACATTTCGATTAAAGTGACAGTAAATGCTGCTGCCCTGTATTACTCATGGACTACTGTTGGCATTAACCAGACGGAAGTAACCCATAAAGCCAGGACTAAACGGGATCTTACCACATTATGGCTTTTAAAGCACCGCACTCCACAGCTGCTGAGCAAAGTCTTTGTCTGTTTATGTATTTACTGGCTTATTCATTTCTCTGATTACATATTAATTTATTTTTAGTGCAGCAACAGATCCATATGCCATTATACCTTAAGTTGGCAAAGATGCACGTAACAGGGCTTGTACAGAACTGCTTGATGCATGCTGCAGATGTGCAATACTTTATCTTTCTAGTTGTATATTTCTTAGAAAGGACTGAAAAACATGGAAAGCTTTACCAGTGATGTAACCAACTTAAACCGCCTTAAGTGAAAACAATTTTATACATCAACATGGTTTAATGTATTTTGTTTGTTTGTTTGTTTGTTTGTTTGTTTGTTTGTTTGTTTGTTTGAGTACCATGAATGACTGCATAGTGATTATTGGGGTTTACTAAGCAGTATTCCATCCAGTTTAGCATTTAATCATGTGAGTAAATAGTAAGCTGCGTTATGAGGATTTCACCCATCACAAGCGCTGCGGTTTCATTCCACAATTCTGGTTTAAGAGTCAGTTTTTAAAAAGCAGCTTCAAAAATATCCACTTTTTAAAGGAATAGTTTGGCATTTGATGGAATTAATTTATTCTCTTTCTTGATCAGAGTTAGATGATGAATTTATATCAATTGAATGTCTGTGCACATTAGCCTGGAAGCAGAGGGGAACAGCTAGCCCACCAGTTAAACATACTGTAAGGAGTTTTTAACTGGTTATGAAACAGTGTCAATTTAATACTGATGTCTCTATATGACCTACTGAAACAAACAAGACTATCAGAGAGAAGACTGACTATTTCTATACAGTTATTTTTAATGCTTGCCGTCAGGTTGGATTCCCCTTGAAATCAATGAAACAAGGCAGCTTGTGTCCACAGTTGCCGCCAGAATTAACACAAAATAAAATCTCCTTGTAGGGGCTCACGTTTCATCTTGTTTGTTGAATCAGTACTTGCTAGTAAAAAAAACTTGGGGAGAGACTAGCTTGACATTGAAGTTGCATTGAACTGAGTCTTTTTGATAAGTTGCAGGGGCGTTTCCAGAGGAGCAGCCTGGGGTGGCACTGGCCACACTGAAATCTTATTGGCCACCCCATCCTCGTTACCTCTTCCACTGGCACTGTCTCTCAGGCTGTAGCCAGAATGAAGATGCTAGCATGTTAGGACTTGGGGTAAATAACACTCCCAACTTAAGCTTTATTTTTGTGATGGAAAAACTGGCATGGCCATTTTCAGAGGGATTCCCTGACCTCTGGCCTCAAGATATCTGAATGAAAATGGGTACCCACAAATCTCCCTTTTGCAGACATGCACACTTTATGTTAATTCCATGCAGTTCTATATAAAAACTGTGCAGTTTTTTTGGTATGTGTTATTTAGTGTACTTAAATATTTCTGCATACTGGGGTCCATAAACAGTGTTGGAATTGTATAAATTAGGAATGACGGGAAAAGGAGAGACACACTTCATGCCACCCCTGCATAAATCAGTTCCCCACGCAGTCAAACAAACTCTGTGTGCTTCACTAAGGAAATCTTTTGTAAATATCAAGTATACCCTGCAGTTTTCCAAAGTACATCTAGGAGTACACATACCCCCATTTAAGAAACACTGCTCCACACTATTTTCATGAATGTAGCTTGGTAGCTGGTCCGCTATGTGTCAAGATAAGGTCCCCGTCCATGTTCCACCTACCAAGCTACATCGGATTGGTCAGATGTTTGGAAGCAGCTGTCAGTGCGCAGGACACATTTGACTCCACAAACAAATCAGAGGTCATTTAGGAGCCTTGAACCAGGCTCAGCTGGCTGTATCCCCCTTCTTCCTGTCTTTTTGCCAAGCTAGGCTAACCACTTCTTAACCCTAGCTTCATACGTATTGCACAGATACGATACAAGTGGTATTGCTCTTTTCATCACTCTAGGCAAGAAAGTGAAAAGGTGCTCTTTGGAAAAAGGTCAAACCCTTTCAAAGCCAAGGTCTCAAACTGAAAACCAATAATGCGCTTTAGCTTCATGGCAGCATTCATTTGCTAAACTAAATGTGATATTTCTTCATTTATTAACTTTTTATTGGTATATATCATTTAGAAATTAAACTCTTAAACAGCAAGTCAAATGTTGTTTTTCCAGTGCAAAAAGACAAAACCAGAATGACGAGCACGCTTGCAGATCCGTCAGCTTCCAAACCAACATCACTTCTACCTTCATCTTCAGAAAATGTTCCGAATGTAATGCTTTCAGAGCAAATTTCATAAATAAAGTCTTTCTTTCACACATTTCAATGAGTCCTCATTTACAGCTTTGCAGATTCAACATATAATTTGAGAACACAATGCTGTCAAGTTTCTTTTCTAATGGCTAAGAAGCAGCTTTACTGAAATCAGCCATAACTTCCAAGAATAATGTATCAGACACAATCTTCCTGGGTGACGCACATCCGTCTTTAATCCAGCTTTTAGAGAGCACTCCGGGCACATCTAATCCGCAAATAAACAAATCACGTCAGATTTGTCTATGCTACCACTACTTAAAAACACAGTACTGCGTTAAGTCAACTGATCCCACTCTCGTCTGTGTTGTTTATTAACGCATCTGCTGCTTTAAGGTAATACACTGACTCATGCTCTAATATGTCTGGCTGTGGTTTATACCCCCTGGCACATCCTTGAGGACTTATTGTCCTAAAAGGACGTCTGTGCTGTGGCTTGTAAAATGTAGTGTCTGGAATAAATTAATAAACAATTACACACATGAAAAGCCCCCCCCAAAAAAGGAAACATGATATAAATAGTTTTACAAATCCCTGTGTCTGCAAAGCTGATGGCTCAGGGTAGTTTGGTTGGATTTAAACAGGAAGGGAAAGGATCTGATTTGAACTGAGCATGACCCAGAACTAGGGTTTTTTCCCTTTGTGGTTTTTAAACTATTTGCCCTGTAGATATTACAAAATGTTTGGGTTACAGGTAACAACCCTTATTTGCTGCCCTGATCTAAACCCCCATCAACAGGGGAACAGTAAGGATCCCACTCCAGACATGTATTAAGACACATATACAAATAATAGTCTGCTTGTAACAGTAATGAGTATCTGATATGTTTGCGTTTGCTTTAGTATAATTTCCATCTCAAAATCCTTAAAAAGACATCAACTCCTTCTACACTGTAAAATATTTGTCACAAATCATGCTAGTAAAATTTCAATGAGCACAGAGAAACTTTCCACTTCCAGCAGATCAGTGTGAAAACATCCTTCTAGGGTGAAACTCTGCACATAGAGAGCACACTGTAGGAACAAGAAAAAACACAGATTTCTGACTGGAGGGGGACTTGTGTCAGTGAGCGATGACAGCTGTCGATGGCTTCTACATCACTGTAGCTTTGGGATGTAATAATATGGAAATACCAAAAATATCCACATGGCTCGATACAATAAGCAACATGTGAAAAAAAATGTTTTTAGAGTGATAACCAACAGCATTAATAAATTAGGGCCACGGATAGGCACAGAATGCTGTTTTTAGCAAAAATGTAGTGCGTAGGATCAGTGATGTGTCAGCTTGCCAATAGAGAGAAGTCTCTGGAAACCCAGCTCCTCTCATCTCCTGAAAACTGCTGCATAAAAACACACAAGAAATCTACAATGGCATCTCATTTTACCTTACATCTCATCTATTTAATGGTCACTGTAAAAAAAAAGGCAGTGTTTCCTAATTGTAACGGATGGATGCCAGACACAGGTAGTTATGGTAACTTTGAATAAATAGTTATCAGAAATAATCTTGTTTGCTGCCTTTGTGAGAATAAGCAGCTCCATGTCAATCTCATGTCGGTGTGTTACCACTTCTGCAGAGCAGGACAAGCTGTAAACAAAGCAGCATTAGCATTTATTTACAGTAATGGTTGTGTCCACCTGATGAATATAAGTCCACTGCTCCTTTGCAGGTAATAGCTGCCTGCTGCTGCAGAAAACAAGGCTAATGAGAGTGCTGGGACCAGGGCCCCTAAGCAAGATTTTGTTTGGGTGCTGCCTTACTTGCCTGGAGACCATGAACTAAAACTATGAACTATAACTATAAATGTATGAGCTGAAAATATTTCTTGGTCAACATTAGCTGGCTGCGGTGATTCACAGTGTCTTATACAAACAATTGTACCAAACCTTGTCAGGAGCTTTAGAGCTGTTGGTCGGTGTACCAAAACTGGGACCAAAACCAAAACATGGTCACTGGTTGTGTCTGACACCCAGTGCTTTAGCTATAGATGCTGCACATACTGAGTGGATGGATAAACTGTTCAATACATAGTTCTTACATTGACAAATGAGATGTAACATGTTTAATCAGTAAGCTTTAGAGGTGTTGGTAGGTGTAATTTTGAACTTCACAGACCTGTTTCCCCCAGCTGTATTTAAAGAGCCAGTGTGTAACATTTAGGAGGATCTATTGTCAGAAATGTAATATAATATTCATAGGTATGTTTTCATTAGTGTATAATCACCTGAATATAAGAATACTTTCAATTCAATTCAATTCAATTCAATTTTATTTGTATAGCGCCAATTCATAACAGAAGTTATCTCAGGACACTTTTCAAATAGAGCAGGTCTAGACCGAACTCTTTAAAACATTATTTACAGAGACCCAACAGTACCACCATGAGCAAGCACTTGGCGACAAGGGCAAGGAAAAACTGCCTGTTAAAAGGCAGAAACCTAGGACAGATCCTTCGGCTCTAGGTGGGTGGTCGTCTGTCTCGACCAGTTGGGGTGAGAGAGAGAGAGAGAGAGAGAGAGAGAGAGAGAGAGAGAGAGAGAGAGACAGAATGACAGACAGGTGCACAGCAACAACAGTATTGGCAATGGCAATCTAGCAGGACCATGGCAGGAGGCTCCACCAGGATCGACAAGAACCTGCGAGACGAGAAAGCACAAGAACTCCGGGGAAGAAGTGAAGTTAGTAACATGCATTAATGGAACATGAATGAGTGCAGAAAGAGAGAGGAAGGGAGGAGCTCAGTGCACCATGGGAAATCCCCCGATAGTCTAGGCCTATAGCAGCATAACTAAGGGATGGTTCAGGACTCACCTGATCCAGCCCTAACTATAAGCTTTATCAAAGAGGAATGTCTTAAGCCTACTCTTGAATGTGGAGAGGGTGTCTGCCTCCCGAACCACAACTGGAAGCTAGTTCCGCAGGAGAGGAGCTTGGTAACTGAAGGCTCTGGCTCCTGTTCTACTTTTAGAGACTATAGGAACCACAAGTAGCCCAGCATTCACAGAACGTAGTGTTCTAGAGGGGTAATAGGGTACTATGAGCTCTTTAAGATATGAAGGGGCCTGACCATGAAGAGCTTTATAGGTGAGGAGGAGGATTTTAAATTCTATTCTACATTTTACAGGGGCCAATGCAGAGAAGCTAGTACAGGAGAGATGTGATCTCTTTTTCTAGTTCCTGTCAGTACTCGTGCTGCAGCGTTCTGAATTAATTGGAGCGTTTTAATGGACTTATTGGGGCAACCTGATAATAAAGAGTTGCAGTAATCCAGCCTTGAAGTAACAAATGCATGGATTAGTTTTTCTGCATCTGTCTGTGATAGGATGTGTCTAATTTTTCTAATATTACGTAAATGAAAGACGGCAGTCCTAGAGGTCTGCTTCATGTGGGAGTTAAATGATAAATCCTGATCAAAGATAACTCCAAGATTCCTGACAGTGGTGCTAGAGGCCAAGTTAATGCCATCTAGAGTAACTATATCTTTAGACAGTGAGTCTCTAAGGTTTTTGAGTTTAACATCAGAAAATTGCAGGTCATCCAGGATTTTATGTCCTTAAGACATGTTTGTAATTTGGATAATTGATTAATTTCATCGGGCTTGATTAATAGATATAACTGCGTATCATCTGCATAACAGTGAAAGTTAATGGAGTGATTCCTAATAATGTTGCCTAAAGGGAGCATAAATAAAGTAAATAGTATTGGTCCAAGTACAGAACCTTGTGGAACTCCATGACTAACTGTAGTATTTATTGAAGATTCATGGTTAACATGTACAAACTGCTAGCGATCTGATAAATATGACGTAAACCAGCTTAGTGCGGTTCCTTTAATGCCAATTTGATGCTCAAGTCTCTGTAAAAGAATATTATGGTCAATGGTGTCAAATGCAGCACTAAGATCTAATAATACAAGTACAGAGACAAGTCCATTGTCAGAAGCAATCAGAAGGTCATTATTAACTTTAACCAGAGCTGTCTCTGTGCTGTAATGAACTCTAAATCCTGATTGAAAATCCTCAAATAAACTATTGTTATGTAGAAAGACACACAACTCTTTGGCGACTACTTTCTCCAGAATCTTAGAGAGGAAGGGGAGGTTAGAAATCGGTCTATAGTTGGCTAAAACCCCTGGGTCAAGAGTGGGCTTTTTAAGAAGGGGTTTAATACTTGTTGTCTCTACAGAGTCCACCATGTAGAACCACTACAGTAGCCCAGAATGTACAAACCAAACACTGGCGTGAGATAGGACCTTTGGTGTTTTTTGTGTCACAGTCACCCTAGTTTCTCCTACATGATTGGAAGGGAGAGGGGTATTCAGTTGATCGCAATCTTCAACTTCACCACTAGATGCCACTAAATCCTACACACTGGTTATTTAACATGCAGACATAAACTTGATATCAATCTTCTCATATCACTCTCAGAAAGAAAGCAAATGAACATATTTCCCCAAAGACTGAACTATTCCTTCAAGCTGCAATCAATCTGCAGAATTTGCAAAAGTCCAAGGGGACATGGGAGGAAGCTTAGTAACAGCATGCTTCAAAAAGACACTCCCATATCCAGCTGTTAGGGTTAAATCTTTCTCACTGTTCTGTTAGACAAATAAAAAATCTAATGGAATGCACTGCAAAGTAGGCTGCATGTTACTTAACAGAATGACACTTCAATTATGGGTAGAGTCCAAGAGTTTACTCAGCTCTCAGCTGGAGCTTGCATGTGAGGGATACAAACTGCCAGAACTGAGAATGAGCAGCTTTGAAGACAATGAGCAAATCAAGCCTGGCTGCTGCGCAAATCTAGTAAGACAATTCCTCCAGTGGCCACAGAACTTTGATTATGTTCGTGGTTCTGTCCTCACTTGCACTGACAACTTATGTGTGTACAAACCCATCTCCGCACACTATCAAATGTGGGCTTGCAGACTGATCACAGCTTGATTTAGTTTATGTGCTTGCTCAGTAGTTTTGTTGTTAATGAACTTCCCTACTTGCCTTCATC